AACGGTTTACGCTGGCGCTGACCAGTGGATACGATTAACATGAGGACAGGTTAGTTAGCCCATCGTGGCAAATTCACCGGGAATTTTTCAGGATGGTTTCCAGGGAGAACTGCGTTGAGGTTCCCCTGAAATTATAGGTTATATATACATAAGGTCTTAGTCCTACGGAATGAAATTCATATATGTATGGGCGAGGGTTGCTACCAATATGTGTGCTGTCAGTTTTTTTCACTAATCCTAACAAAAACCCGGCGATGTAAGACAATTCAGAAAAATAATTTACGTTCACAATCAGTATACTTGTCACGGTACGAGTTTGCGAGGGTCTTTGTACATACAGTTACATAGTACGTCGGCACCATACAAAAAGCGATGATAACCTTAGAAAGCGTTGGCCAACTGGGCCAGTGCAGTGCAGTGACCTAGTATTGAAACTATTGCAGTAACATGTTGTACACACCGTGCAGTATTTTGTCTTTAATTTTCATTTACTATTATTGTATAACTATATATATATTGTAAGTTTACATACATATATATCGTATGCTGACCCGCGTCAGCTGTCCCCCATTTTTGCAAATGTTGTTTTCATTGCTGCTCCTCTCTTATTGGTCTTAGCCTCATGTTATATAGTCTTCTTCGATATCCGACACAATTTTATTCAAGTTTAAAGCAAAGTAGTAGACATTATTATTAAGGCGGAAATATAATAATTAGGATTAATACAATGTAATTAAAGTATAACTCGACGCACGGATAATTAAATTTTCAATTGGTTCAATTGGTGAAAATGTAATTGTTTCTAAACATAAATAATTAATTTTTCACCCTATATTTTTTACTAGCGATTTTAACTTATATGGTAAAACAGCGTTTGCTGGGTCAGCTAGTAATTTATAAATTTATGCCGCCCGATAGGACAGCGTCAGCAGATAGGATAAGACTGCCGTTAGGTACAGTCACTGTCATCATAATCCACTATTTATCATGTGATGCAATATTCCATGCTCTCATGGAAATTTCCTGCCATCTTCACAAATAAATTTACTTATTTTTTTTTCACGTTTCTGTTAATTTATTATGGACTATTATATATCTACTTATTTTTTATCTAAACTGTGTTGAAATAAAAATTATACCTGCAATAGTCCAATCTATCTAATATATTTACCTACCTATATTTAGCCATCGTAATTAACATTATTGATATAATAAATGCTAATTTCAACCGACCTTATTCTACGATAATTGTTCATTGCCCAGTGTTAGTATTATTTATCCTTTTTATATTCATGTTTATTCTTGTTGTAACAATAATAACAATTATTAATGATTTGACTTTTATTTTGTGTGTCGACCTTGATAGCGTAGCTTAACATACAATCGATTATCAAGGGTTCGATTCCCGTACTATTTACAAACATCTTGATTTATAACTATGACTGTTTAAATCGATCAGATTTATATATTATCAGCGTTTTATTTTATGTTCATAATCTACAGAGTTGTTATTTTTAATATAGTACATACATCTATTTAGTATTGTATTATTTAACTTCGATTTACAATTTCAAACCCTATTTTAGGCTTGTAACGTCACGCAAAATAGATGAATAATAAAATATGTATATTCTTATGTAATGTACTGGAAACTATATACATATAATAATGACTCTCAGTAAAAATAAGTGCTAAGTTTCATTGCCAACTTAGTTCCAACTGAAAGTTAAAATAAAACTAAAAATATTTTATGAATCTAACGTTAATATATGAGCAGTGCCCTGCGGTTTTACATATACTTATAGTATACTAGCTGTCCCGGCAAACGTTGTATTGCCGTAAAATAAAATAAAAATTAGGGGTGGACTACCCCTAACATTTAGGGGGATAAAAAATAGATGTTGGCCGATTCTCAGACCTACTCAATACGCTCACAAAATTTCATGAGAATTGGTCAAGCTGTTTCGGAGGAGTATGGGAACGAAAACTGTGACACGAGAATTTTATATATAAGATTAATATTAAAGAAATGCGCTCATTTCTTTCTTTGTGCCCTTATAAAAGGGTTTTAAAGGTATTGATAAACCTATAACATTCCTCAATAATTATATAAAAGCATGCTTTTTTATAAAACTAACATTTCCGTTTGTTCGTACACTACAAAAAATGAACCCTTTACCTTTAACTGAAAGCTAATAGCTGTATAAATATGCTAGTATACACTAGGTTTAATCGTGTTGGCATTTAATGGTTCATCAATGAACGGCAGTTAAATGGCCCCTTGTACTGCATTTATATACCAAGCCTAATTATACCTAGTGACTCGGTCGTTACAATAGACTAAGACCACAGACTATTAAGAAACAATGGGCCTATTGGAAATGTCATTACATAATTGTGCATTAAAATTTGTTAATTATATGTCATAGCATTTTCAAAATTAAGACGTGTCTATCTAAGTATATCGTACCCTAATGGTGTATTTTGACTGGACCCCCGAGAAAAATGTAAACATAGATAGAATACACTTTATACATAATATACAGTGAAGAAAAGACAAACAATATATTAAAGTCCAGGTGCATAATTACAATAAGACGGCCTTATTGCTAAAAGATGAGTATGAAGTCAGCCACACATTTTGATTAATAAATGTTAATCGTCAATTAGAAACTATTTATTATTGATTTCCAAGTTAATTATTTCGCCATGATGCTAATGGAGAGAAGTTCGTTCTTAATAATAATATTATTAATTAATTTAGTTCATTCAATTAATTAGTATTGTTACGTATGTCATATGTAAGATTACAACAATGTGTTTGTATTGACCTTAATCCTCATCATTACTTTTTTTAAGTAACAGTAACAGTTCGTATCGTGTTCGTATTAGGTTGCAAATATACTGCAGTTCAATTAGCGCATTGGTTGCTATGCCCCGCCCTCTACCGAAACGCGGCTATCAGAACTAAAATTGGGCTCACATTATCAGGTTCAGTCCCGACGGCCCGTACCGTCACGCATTTCCAAAGAGGACGTAGCAACAAATTCGCTAATTGAACTGCGTCGTCGCCACGGGCCGTCGGACTCTTATCGGAAATGTACCGGGAGACTCCGCAACTGACCGACTATATATTAAAAGTCTTACATGTTTAACTTTATTTTAATCTTACTCATAATACTATATGTTGTTGTGTTAAAGACTTAAAGTAAGTCTCCTTTTATTTGCCGTTTTAATAACAACGTCCTTCAGCGAAATACGTGAAATTTGGCGGACACGTAGCTTGAAGTTATATTATTCAAGGGTGAAAGAAGGGTATGTGATGTCACCAAAAACATCATAGAAAATGTGCTAACGAATATAATTATTTCCTATTCGTACTAAAAATATAACGGCAATGGTATTGTAATTGAGATCTTCATACTTATTATACAAGGTTTATAATGTCATGCATTACCATAAGTATTGTACTATTGTAGCTACTTGTAAATGTAAGAAAAACTACAGTAGGTGACCGACATGCACGCGAAATTTGAAGTGGTGGAAATGACTGGCAGTTTTCTTTATGAGTCTACATTTTTACTGGCGCTGATTCAAACTGAAAATCGTTTATTGACATTAGGGCCTTTCGGCCTTTTGTGCACGCCCTACAATCGATCCCCTATCCAATACAAACGGGTCTGAGCCGAGGTTCGAACCCCCTAGTGGTGCCCTCAGACTAAAGGCGTATCCATCAGGCGGGAGTTGGCCTTCAGCCGCTCCATAAGTACTTCCGCGGGTTAAGAGTGCCATCTGCACATTTAAATTTAATTGTCAATCATTAAATATTATATAGCATTTTAGTAGTGTATTTGTCTAACTTATTTTATATAGGTAATTGTATTAAATATAATTGTCTGAGAAACTAACGCTATACAAGTTTACAGAGTATACCAAATAATCGTTAACAGACTAATAGAATAGGCTTTATTCAATAAATATTATTTAATATTTATTTCTATCTCATTAAAAATTAGGTCACAAGAATTTCTTTTAGTATCATGTTACTGAGATGGATGCATGTTTGTTACTCTATGACGCAAAAACTACTGAATGGATTTTGATGAAAACAGTAATATAGCTGACATATAACATATAATAAATATCAGAATAACACAGTTTATAAATATTACGATAGTGGAACCACGGGCACAAATTTTATAATTTAATGCCTATTCCCATAAAAGACCTAACTAACTAAATCTAAAATAATTTTGGGAAATGCAAATTTATATTAGTATCTTGTGTTAACGTTGAGATTACAAATGTCTTCACTGTTTCATGCTTAAATTACAAACAACGAGTCTTATCTATTTGTGTCAATAGCGTTTTTCTTACATAGCCATACCTACACAGATAATATATCCACAGGTATCTATTTAATATACTATACAGTCTATTGCTCATAAATGATAAATATTTACTATATTCTAGCTGGGCCTCCGAAATTAGATTTAGGATTTAAGTGAATTTGTGATAGCGTCACAATATATTATTAAAAACTGTACAGAAATCCGTTAAGGCATTTTTAAGATTAGCGTGTACAAACTCACAAAGATACAAAAATTCTAATAGACTTCAATTATGTTGATAAAGTCGCCCAATATTTTCTTTTTATATATCCTCTATATACAGACAGCGTATTTCTTCTGTCCATGTGTTTATGTGATTAAAACGATCCCTTTAAATCGCAAGAGTCAACAATATTTTTATTCGAGATGGAATGTGTGGATAGCTGGACGGTTTAGATTCATAATTCAGGGGTTGTCAATGTTTAGTTACACAATGACCTGCGAGTCCTTTCGTACTTTATATAAATATTGTTAAATATTTACATAAAATGTTAAATATTTATAAAAATCGGACTTAATACCTGATGGCATTACACAGTCAATTGTCATTCTGAACAGGAAAATTAAGTGTTATATTAATGTGTATAACTTATTTGTTAATTCTTACAGATTTGACGAGAAAGAAAGCATATCGGGTGTTCAGCAGCTGAAGTCATCCGTTCAGAAGGGGATACGGTCTCGGCTGCTCGAGCTGTACCCACAACTGGATAACTACATCGATCAGGTGTTACCCAAGAAGGATACATTTAGGATTGTCAAATGGTAGTTCCTAATAATAATTAAAAAAAATAATAATATCCCTCTGGATATTCCCACACAACGCCGTCTAGTCCCAAGCTAAGTAGAGCTTGTGTTATGGGTACCAGACAACTGATAGAATACTGTTTATTGTATACTGAATACAGAATTACTGTCTGAGTGTTTTATATGTGTTTTTTATTTATTTTTAATTGCACATGCATATACAATTAATTTACTATTTATATAATACAATATAATATTTGTATAATAAATTAACAATACCCACATGGACTCTGTTTAGTGTTGTCAGTCATCAGTTTCCATATTTATAACAGTTGTCTTAGTACCCATAATACAAGCTCTGCTTAGCTTGGGACTAGATGGCGCGAATTGTGCGCGTTGGTGTGAATTATCCTGGGATGTTATGTTTTATATTATATATAGTTCTATAGAGTTTTTAAAGAATTTCCAATCGTATCAACGTGTCATTTGATGAAAAACGGTTGAAGATTAATGATAATATTCTTATTCCTAAGGTAGTAAGATACATACATAGTAAACAGAATTTCATTGTAGCGATGCGTTTATTTTAATTAAATTAGTATCTGTGCTCCTACGCTTAGACTCCTACGTATTTTCTCTTACGCCTACGAGTTTTATGTGCGTTAATAATAGAATGTCTGGAGTAGATTAGATATATAATTAAATTATAATCTACTTATTGGAGCTATAACATTCAATAACATGTTAGTGTTTCCTAAATACTATGATTTTAATATTAACAAAAGATAATTATTATTTTAAAGAATGGCGACCCTATATATGTAGGCTTTTAGTAGTTATTATTCACACTCACAAACTGGAATACCAGAACGACTAATGTATCATATGTACCATCAAGAATAGACACTTTTTTTATTGCATTTAGTAATTTAACGCATAATCTATAGTAATTATATATGCCAATAATTCCAATGACATGATTATTTTAATTTAATTATTGACTAATCAGAATGACATAAATATATTAATTTATTAAAATTTGCACACCTGTATGCAGGCTAAATGCACTGGACATTATATTTAATATTGTATACAACTATAAGTACTGTATTCTGCGAATAAATTATTTTATTTGATTTGATTTATAATCGAATTGGACAGGGTGTATGTTAAGTTGCAAAATAAACAAATGGAGCAGGCAAGTGGCTCTTTAATATCCTAGAAACGGGACTAAAAAACAGGGACGCCAAAAAACACGTTGGAAAGACGGTATCAACTTGATTCTGGAGTTGCTCTGGAATAGAGTTGCAGAAGACAGGCCTTTTCCATTAGGTACACTAAGTTGCTGGAAATTTTGTAAACCATAATGTATCCCAACCTTAGGAAAAAAGGCTGTATTATTATTATTATTGTGATATTTTGTTTTATTACTATTATTATAGTCGTTATTATGTAATTGACTTTTGAATTAAGGTTATTAAATTTCACCGTAAATAATAAACTTATTACATTTGACACTCTTTTATGTCACATAAAAACTTGGTATTATAAAATGCACATTGCAAATTTTTATCACCCTCACGTTTTCAGTCTTTATTACTTTTAATACATAAAATGGCAACCCTTACCGCCCGTGCCGCCGCCCTGCAGTTCGTTGATAAATTGTTCGCAGTTGTTTTTCGGTTTGAGCTACTTTCTCCCTGAACCCCAAATGCCACTGAAAAGAAAGAAATGTTTCTTTATTGTTATAGTTGTTTTCTTAAAAGCGACCTCAAAATTTGTAAATCTGTTTTTTTTTTACTAACAATGGTGTAGTGCACCCGCTTGCGCTAACGGTATACGCTGGCGGGACACCAATGTAGGATGAGCTATGAGCAGGAAGTCAAGTCAGTTAGCCCATCATGTTAAATTCATTAGGTATTTATCATGGTTTCCAGGGGGAACCGTGTGGAGCCTCAACCTCAACTTTATTAACAACTAGCTGCACCTGCGACTTCGTCCGCGTGCAACTTTATTTTTCTAAAATAAAAGTAGTTACGTTAGGTAATTAGCCTAAGTTACTCCACTCCTTATGGATATATCCTCCTTATATGCCAATAAAAGTCCCGTCAAGGTCGGTCCAGCCAATTCAGAGAGACAGACAGACAAAAATTGTATAAAATGTTATTTTGGTGTATGTACTGTATGTATATTCATATGCATCTAGTAAAAACTGTTATTTTAATATTACAAACAGACAATCCATTTTTATTGATCTGTATAGAATATAAATGATGTTTTTAATACAAAGAAATACAAATTTACTCCTTTGGCTTTCTTTATCTCAGCTTTCTTTGGCCTATAGTTGAGTTATATTTAATAACAAATTCTGTGACAATTTTATCCTAATTCCAATACCCGTTTTAATTGAAAACTTAACACGAATAGACAGACAGTTTTGACCTCGTCACGATTATATCATATGTAAAGATTATCACTATCATTGCACCTTAAAAAATATGGTTGACGCAGTATGTATATATATGTATATTTTTTTTCCAAAGATCGCTATCGCCCGTAATATCTGACAAATCTCCTTTTATACATATTATCTTTCACATATTAAAGAGAAATCAGAAAATATGGATTTCAGTTCATAAATTTTATGGACTTATCATAAGTGTCTATATGAATATTTTGATTTGATAGGTAAAATGAGGTTGTTTACGATTTCAGTCACGATCACATCGAGATAATGGTGAACAGCGCTGGCGAACTGCTGTTCTTCCGTCACCGAGAGGGACCCTGGATGCCTACTCTTCGGCTATTGCATAAATGTAAGCAAAGCTTTTGGCACAATATTTTCCTATGTATAAAGCATTGTTTACTACATTGTTAAGTGAGTTACAATGTTATATATTCAGTACATTGAACATTTGCATCAAGTTCTATATTAAATGCACCGGTCACTCCTCCGATCGATCCCCCGTTCAATTCAAACGGGGATCGAAAACGGTGCCCTCAGACTAAAGTTGTATCCGTCAGGTGGGAGTTGGCCTTCAGCCGCTGCATAAGCCTTCCGCGGGTTTGGAGTGCCGTCTGCACTCGGCCCCTATTCACTCGCATTTGTGTAGTCCGAAAAAACATGGTTTTTAAAACGAATGTGCTATAAATTAACGGTATCCAAGTTGGTGTTCATATTAATAAAATGTGGTCATGACTTTCCATGAGATGGGCAGTAAGCTCATTTAACCATTTACCGGAGCAGTAAAAATTGACCTGCGTGGGTACTTCAGTGTCACCTATTTCAGTCACCTTGGCTTGGCTTGTAATCTGTGTTTTGGTTGTATGTCGCGATTAGGCAGTGAAATTACAGAATATGAGGGATAACATCTGGAATAACAACGCATGAGTTATGTCACAGGTATCATAAGATTATATGATATCTATAGTGCTGTTCATGTACCGCTAGATGAAGCTTGGCTATCATTCCAATTAATTAAAAAAAAATTGCACTGCAAATATATAATATACGAAATGTATTTCCAAAGAAAATGTTGAGGTGGTAATAGGCTAGTCACCCAAAAGTAACTATTGCCAAAGGTTAAATACTATTGCAATAGTTACTCTAATAGTTAACATCAACTAAAAAGCATTGGAATTTACCCATTAGTTCGTTCGCAGAGCTAATAAAGAAATATTGAATTACGTAGCAGTAGATACTAAATACAATACACAATTATTATTACGTTTTTCCTTTGTCAAACCAAAACAATTATATGTTTCATATTTATTGCTTTTATGAATCATTGTATGACATATTAACTTCAGTTGTGAAGTTAAATGTGTGGTCGCATAACTTGAGTCCCCTCCGATTGATCCCCCATTCAATTCAAACGGGGATCGAAATTACGACGGCCTGAGCCGAGGTTCGAACCTCTAGCGGTGCCCTCAGACTAAAGTTGTATCCGTCAGGCGGGAGTTGGCCTTCAGCCGTTCCATAAGTCCTTCCGCGGGTTTGGAGTGCCATCTGCACTCGCCCTCTATCTTCCGGTGAAGCTGTAAAGGCCAGCTGCGGCCAAGAGCATTAGAGATTAGTCCGAAAATCAAAATATTTGAGTGCATTTTTTCTTTGTCTAAATATCTTATTTTAGTTATAGAGGTATGTATAATTGGCCCCAAATCTGATAGCGGTCAGAGAGCAGTATAATTAACGTACAGTATAATTTAACGGTAAGTTGTTTTTTGTTATGCGATGCGATCAATATAAAAATTGAATTTATTATATTAATATAGTATAGCAAAAACTTTGTATTGATTTTTACGAAAATTGCCAGGACGGTGCAGTATGAAAGAGAGAAGGAATCCAGAATACTAATATTTTAACAAATACATTAAATCAATAAAAAACATTATACACACATATATATTTTGTTTTATTGTTGTTCTTTGTTTGAAGATCTTTTTGTATTTTTGGGCACTGGGCGACCACTAGTTGTAATAATTTAATGGTTTTTATTAACTCTTTCCGTAAATACATCATGAAAATTATGTCATAATGGTAAGCAATATATTTTTAAATAGCATACTTGTCTCGCGTATTTATCTATGTCCTCAAAAAAACTGAACAAATTTCGAATATTTATTTAGTAATTGATTATGTTATGTTTGTTATCTGTGCTAATAGAGTAAATTTATTTTTACGTTAATACCACATTAATGTCTGTCACATTACAATAAAATATACCTACTTGTAAAGAGGTTAAAGTCAAAAAGCAACAATACGCAATACTCTACCTGAGATTCGAGGCAAAATTAACACGATTCACATAAAGAAATAAACAAAATCGGTAGACGGTCGTTGACTCGTTTTTGTAGACGTAATTTCATTAATCAATGCGTTTAGATCGGTATCGGGTATTCGCTAGAGGGTACAAGCAGGGCCGGATTTACTATTAGGTAGGGTAAGCCCAGGGGCCCGCATTCTGGTAAGGGGGCCCTGACGTGGGCAGGAAAAATCTAATATTCAATGACAATAGATATTGTATTACATATTTCTTTTTTCGACGCATGTGTTGATAGAATATAACATGTACTACTACTACTACACAGCGTATTTCAGGATAAACAAAACTTTTGAGTTTTATTCACTTCCCTTCATCAATTTGATAAGAGCTAATAATCTTCAATCGTCAGATATAATGTATACATGAAATAGCATTTTTTAAAACATTGAGGGGAGATTTGAATCGCCTAGGACATCGGCATGATTAATACGGCCCTGGGTAAAAGTAGGCAAACGACATCAGGGATGCCAACGATATGAGGTTCCTATTACCAGTACAAGATTTTGGACCTACGGTACGAGAATACTTTTGGTCTCTTACGAAGTATGAGATATTATTCCTTTCGAAATTCAAAATACGATGAGATACGACGTTAGAGAGCCAAATAGAGCTAATTTATGGTATTATGAGATATTTTTTATTTTATCGTAAGATACTAAAGGTTGACAACCCTAATCAATGTCCACAGCCCACAGGAAAACGAAATGGGGACAACGACTAGAGACGTCACCACGCAATGTGTGTCGCGGAAATCGTAAAAACACGAAAATAGGTTTTACCGACGTTGAACCCATAAAATGTTGATTTTCAACTTCAACTTTACTTGGTACTTACTGTTGTTGATTTAGAAGTAACTTTATGTTTAGACCTGCGGCTAGTTTCTTTTTAATGTGAAAAGGATTGTACGGGGATGAAAGTTTGTATGTAAATTAGTCATTTTTAAAGTTAGACCCATGAAACTGTTTTCATTAGCTTTTTTTGATTAGATTATTAAATAATTTATGTTATCCAAAGTCACTATTCCATGCGGACGATGTCGGGAAACAGCTAGTAATTAATATATTAACTTTAGTGACTAATGATCATTATATCAGACTCGGACGAAATTTACAAGAACGATTCCCGTTCTGTAATAAGCATATTTCTTTTTTACTTTGCAGATCCATTCTTCCTACCGATGCAGCAGGTAGACAAAGGTGCGATCCGCTTCGTGCTCAGTGGTGCCAATATCATGTGCCCAGGGCTGACGTCACCAGGCGCCAGGATGTCTACCGTAGAAAAGGGGCAGGTGGTCGCAGTAATGGCAGAGGGCAAGGAGCATGCTCTAGCTGTCGGAATGACTTCACTTTCCACTGATGACATGTAAGTGTATATAGAGTTCATAGTATTCCATGGATTGACTGTGCGGGTGCCGAGTCCAATGTGTGGAGAGGGAAACACCGAGCAGTTCCCGGGACTTGAGATCCAATTGTAGGACCTTTTTCCGACGTACGTCAACACTCGTGTTTCTCTCCCCGCTTAGCAAAAATCTGGTACACATCTGAACTGATTTCGTGCAGAAGATTATTACGCAACGAAAAATTAAGATGTGTGAAATGGAAAATATTCAAACGTCTATGTATCGGGCAGTCGATAAAATATGGTTGGCATGGTTTTAATTATTGTAGGGATTTCTAATACTTGCTGAGAACGTTGCTGTCTATTTTCACGCCAGATCTCTTACAGGGCAGGCAGTGAGAACCGTATACCATTGGGTTCTGTCCTTACACACACTTCTTGCTTCAATCACATTAATTACTCGTCTCAACATGCACACCGGCCCTGGGGACTATAATCTGATTGATCGCAGCCAATCAGATCATGATAGAATAGCCCAGACTAGGACCGTGGTTCCTGTATACATACACTTTCGATTGTATAATAGATATCTGTATCGTGAAACTTTCATTCGACATCCTTTTCGCATTCCTAAACCAACATAGCTACATGTTCTTTCTTGTTTTATTGCGACACTCTTTTTCAAACTTACTTACTCATAAACGTATGGTGTATTAAAATTTGAAGAAACACATAACCGGAATAATTGTAATAATTAATTATATTATTTTTCAGAGCCAAAGTGAACAAAGGCGTGGGAATTGAGAACTGTCATTATCTCAATGATGGCCTGTGGCAAATGAAGCCAGTGAAGTAAAGGAATCTTTAAATAACTCAATATTTATAAATATTCTTTCATAAATTTATTTAACTCTAAGGTATTTTTTAATAAACGATAGATACAATAATTTGTTTTATTTTCTTTTGAATTATAAAAATTATTTGTATTGGTGTTAGATTATTGGGGAGAATTAAAAGGAAAGAGGAGGGGACGAAGACCAAGGCACAGCAACATCAACCTATATGGCTTGGCAAGTGGCGTCAAAATGGCAAGAGCTCCACCTACGAGAGCGACGCTTTTAAAATTACGAACAAATACTGTTAGATAATAATAGTATTAATAAATGGCATGTACTAATGAAGAAACCACTTTTTTCTGTATATGTGTGTCATATAGAAACAATGGGTAATGGTGTAATTATGCTTTTATCTTACACATACACACACATTTTGCATTTACAGGTGTCGTAAGTTTCAACTATGGGAAAGGCCTTTATACATGCTAAGTCACTTGGCCAACATAGAAGTGTTAATAATAATAATAAGCGTAGAAATTGAGGAAAGGGGTTTGTTAGTAATGTAGACTAATGATCCCTTCACTAGCAATATCCCATATCAGTATAAACTGCACGCGGTTTACGCAGAATCCCTCGGGATAAATTTCTGGTGAATTTGCCGCAATTCACATTTGGGCTAACTGGCCTGACCTTATGCTCATCTTATCATTTTTCCATGGCAGCGTAAACCGGTTACGCAAGTTGCCCCAATTTCATTCCATTTATTATCAATATCATTCCATCATCAACCATTAAAAAAACCTTGGACAATTCATACAGAGTCATTCACTCCCTAAGTAAGCTAAGCTTGTGTAAGCAACTGTTTAGCACCCATAACACAAGCTTAGCCCGAAAAAATATACATATGATGATAAACAAATAGTTTATCAGTTGATAGAAATACTCAAATGTATATTTTTATAAATACACACATAACACACACACACAACACTTAGACAGATATAATACTCACTCAACTAACGACAAATCAATACAATTGTATATATTCTGCGAGAAATCGATACCTCCGATAACTCGGTAATTGGAAATAAATCGATATGCTAGACAATTGAGATTCATAATGCATTAAAGACTTCAAATTAGTTAAAATTTTTAAGTAGCAGAATGTGAATGTGTGGAATACTCCATCTACGGTATTGAGACAATTTATGATGTGCTGAAGTGTCACTGTCATGTACTGTCATTTTTAGTATTCTGTGACAACTAAAAATCGTGCTGCTGTGGTTTGCTTTCAGTTTCGAAATTTCATTTTCAACCTTTTGCACGATTTTAAGTCAAAAACAATTTTTAATATCAATCGTATTGTACAAATTGTACGTATGTCAATGTAAAAAATGGCGGTAGCGCTTGTTAGTTCGGCTCGTCAGGGTAAAAACTTTTTGAACTTAATTTATAATATAAATTAGTATTTTTTAATAATTGGCTGTTTCATGTATTATCTTGTCAAGAAAGTTCTTGCATACTTTAAACTTTGATTTTTATCAGCTGTTGTATGTTTTGTGAATTCATTCTATTTTAAAATTAAATACTTGAATTCATCTAGTTGTTAGGGTCAATATTGTGTGCTAATGATAAACGAAAAAGGTTTAAAAGCCCACTGTTATGCAATTAATGAAAAATAAGTGACGGTACAAAGTTCAAACTCCGGTCGGTTTTGTTTTTGTTTGTGTGTAATTTCGATAACTGTTTTTAGTCGGGAGGCTAACGAATGCTGCCAGGAGGTTGTATTCCGATGTTTATCCTAAAATAACCACTCATTACACCATCCACCCTAGAGATAAGGATCCAAGATGGAAAGGTATGTGATAACCTCGAGTTTTATTATTAATGTGTTTTATATACATAACCAAAATATTTACTTATCATACTTTGCTAAAATGCTATATTGGGTTTGCAGTGTGATAAAGAAAATTGTCATGCATAGATATATACTTTGTTAACATTTATAAATTATAAATTAATAATAAATATAAGTACAACTATCATAAGTATCATATATATCAAATACTTTTTCAGACATTTACTGCTTATATTTTACTTAATGTCAATTATTAAACACATTATGTATTTTACACAGCACAATGTTTATTCCATATGTTATAGGTAACATATGGAATAAACATTGTGCTGTGTATAAAATATTATATTCACGTAAAAAAACAAGTTCTTATTAAAGTTTAAAATTATCTATCAGAGAATTTTAAGGTCATGGTGATATAATAGTTCCTTAATGATGCAATCATCAACTTTAGGGTGCATTTATGGAAACTTTTTATTATTTTAATTAATGCTAATTTTGATCTTATTTTTTTATTTATTATTGTATTCAATTAGCACAGCAAACAATATAAGTACCATATCTGTATATATATTAAAATATATCAGAGTAAAAACTGTATGTTATGTATTGTAGGTAGTTTTTAACATTTCTTCCATCTTTGTGTTTGTGTAATTGTTTGTCTTTATTTATGTAATTGTAGTGGCAAACAAAGGCCCATCTGATGGAAAGTGAAACAAATTAGTCAGGAGAAGTAGTATATATCTCTGTTTCACATAAAAATTGTGGCCATAGAAGTTGATTTAAAGTGTCAAGTTATTATTTTTAATTTAAGGCTAAATGTAAAAAATAGATTGAAATAATATAGGATAATTAATTTTAATACTCTATACTTTTTTTTATAATACTAGTACATAATTGAATTATTTATTTAGAAATAAGTATGGAGCGTGTCGCAGAGGAAACAGACATCCTGATCATTGGTGGAGGCCCTGCTGGCATGGCAGCTGCCATCAGAGCTCGACAGATCGCTGAGGAGAAGGGAGCTGTGAGTATTTCTTAACTTCAATTGAATTGAACTGAAATCCATTTTGTGATGATGAAGTTAGGTCAGTTAGTCTGTTGTTCCTGAATAACCAGAACTTAATCTGATTAATAATATACATTGCTAGCAATGCTGATCCTCTCTGTCTTTCGGATTGGTATATCTTATATGTTTTTATTGCAAAATTTTTCTTTATGACATGATGTTTCATTACCTTGATGGTCTTCCAGTTTAACACACTGCAATATTTCCAAAAATCCTGGGTTTGTATCTTTGCACAATGTTAACATTTCATGATTATAATTATTTCTATTAGTCTGGGCATTATTTATGTATGTACTAAGACTCTACAGGCATTGCTGAGGCTAAGGTTCTTGAATAAAATAATATTGCGACTAAAAATTGAGATGTGTGATGTGTTATCCTATCTTTCAAGTTGAATCAAAATGCACATAATGTACAAATCAAATTTGCAATTGGTTCAGTAGTTTAGGAGTCCATCGCGGACATACAACCTGACATGTAATTTTTATATATAAAGATATTAAAAAAGTATTTAAGTACTTCATCAGTTGTGTGACTATATAACTAATGGAAGTACTTAAATACAAGCATTGCTTAGCTCGATACTAGATGATGCAGTGACATGTTTGAATTGTTCGAGATTTTATTATTCTTATTTATTATTTATAGGAAGTTAGAGTTACTTTACTAGAAAAGGCTGCTGAAGCTGGGGGCCACATACTTTCTGGCGCATGTGTGGATCCAATAGCACTTAATGAGCTGATTCCTGATTGGCAGGAGAAGGGTGCTCCAATCAATACACCCGTTACATCTGACAAGTTTGGTTTCTTAACCAAGAGTGGACGAATACCAATTCCAGTTTTTCCTGGTAAACAAATCTTTCTTCTATTTACATTTAAGAATAATTTAGGACTGTTCTAATCTAAAGTGTTCCTATATATATATATGTTACGTATAAATATATATATGTGGTCATATTACCATATAGAATTTATGTTTAGAGGCTTATTACATAATAATGAACCAAAACTACTATCAAACATGATAAAATGTGAATGAACCCATTTAGAAATTATTTATTGTAGAAAGAAAAACACATTCAATTTTGAATAACATATAATAATATATAATCAAGTCAAACAACAATCTTCCTTTCTACCTCATTTATACATTATTTATATGACTTGTAGGTTTACCAATGTACAACCATGGCAACTATGTAGTAAGACTTGGGCATTTGGTGCGGTGGATGTCGGAGCAGGCAGAAGCAGCCGGTGCAGAGGTATACTAAAAATCAATTATAAATTTATATTAATTTATATATTATAAATCTGTCAACAATGCCATGCCAGAAAGTAGTGAATTCGTGTTCTATACTACTACACTGTTATTTAATTATATTTCGGATCAGCACGAAGTAAAATAAAAGTTAAACTACATATATGTATGTTGATGTACAAGGAGTAGTGTGTGAAATATATAAATTTTAACGACTTTTGTAGATTGAAAACTGGAAAAAACTCTATTTTTATGTAGTAACTATAGATCTGGCTCATTTGATCATAAATTGTGAATTTTATGTATATTAACATAATATATGTGCATATATTTTGTAGTAGTTACATAGCGTATGCCACTCCGGAATAATGAGCCTTCTAAATAGTGAAAGGAATTCTCATATTGATGCAAACACATACCATTTATCTACAATGTTAGTATATATAGGTATGGGTTTAGTACTTCTACGCTTGATCAATCATCAGTCTATCATGATGAGTAGTTTCTATGCTAAATATACTAGCCTCACATTTATAAAGTTGCTGGTTCAAACTCCATTGGTTTAAATGTGTTAATCATAAATGTATTACGATAATGCACTCTTATCGTATATCTTAATCATCTATAAGTACACAGTATAAAGTATAAAGATAAAAAAAATGCTCTAATACTATAGACGATATTTATTATAATATATTATTATATATTCTATATGTATTATTGAAATTATTATTATTATAAGTCTCTCCCCTACTAGTGCCCAATATTAAAATACCTCCTTCATATATGTATTATCATATTATTATTATATAGATAATATAATAGTAAAGGAACCTTGTCTGTACACGAAAGATAGGTGCTTTCATCAACGTAACAGAACCCAAAACAAAGCAAAATTTTATTATGTTTGTCTGTACCTTTGTACACGCGAGTCTTAGAAACAGTTCAACAGATATAGTTGCGGTTGTCGCTAATGTATTATGATAAGTTTTACTTAACATTTTATGTTTTTTATTCCAATCGGTTTACACATAGAAAATCACGACCTACCAAATTGCAGGCGTGGGTAGTCAATAATATTATTTTTCAGGTGTGGCCAGGCTGTGCAGCTGCTGATCTAATATACCGCGATGACGGCTCCTTGAAGGGCGTAGCAACTGGAGACGTGGGTATTGCCAAAGATGGCAGTCCGAAGGATATGTTCGAGCGAGGCATGGAGTTCCATTCCAAGATTACCATATTTGCTGAAGGTGCGGGGGAATTGTTAGGATTATAGCGTCCACTGGTAGTGGTGCGTAATTATTTGCGCTCCCGCCAGCTCTTTATTCCTTTAAAACATCAATATTACATTTATTTATATTTATTATATTTTTTATATTTATATATTTTTTTTTGTAAAAACGCCTTTAATCTTTGCATACACTTTGTATATATAGATAAATTGGAATGTCAAAACAATATCTAAGTATCAATGTTCATCGAAATCATAAATGATATATTATTAACTGTTTACTATTAAAAAATACTTTACTCTATTTTTTTATGTGTAGAATTTTTCTTACGATTGTCCATCTCTCTGTCGCATGTGTAATTCGCTCTAAAAATCACACGGTCTAATGCTACCCAACTATTTAATAACCAAAAATTTAATAAGAAAAAATATTTTACAGGTTGCCACGGCCATCTAACGAAGACGCTATCAAAGAAATATAATCTCAGAGAGAACAGCGAGCCTCAAACTTACGGTATCGGTCTAAAAGAGCTATGGGAAGTGCCAGCTGAGGTTTGTATTACTTAATTTATTTTACCTAGAAATGTGTTTTATGTATTTATACTGTTTGAAATTAAGAGTTCGAAATATATGTGCAATACAGTTCAACATGTACATACATGAATTGATTTTCCAAATTTTAATCTTTCTGCGTGTGTATTTCTTTTTCATTTAATTTAGCCGGTAAGCAGTTTGCTTCATAAGTTGCTTGGTAGGTGAGATATGGGAGTGAAATTACAGAACAGAGAACCGAGTAATGACATCTGAGGTGTACCACAGGCGTAACATGAAGATGTGATGTCCATGGAATGAACAGTATCATGTATATAGGCAACGGTTGACACTTACCATCATATAGCCGACTATTTGTCTCCCATTCTAGCCACATAAAAAAATAGGTTTATTAAAAGTCATCGTTTTTATAGATATGGGTGTAAAACATGTTTTCTCGTAATAAGTTTTTTTTAGTTATGTCAATTGGTCTTTCGAGGACGTAATGTTTCTATATTGATATAATTTAATGATTTTGATTGTTATCATTTTTATTTTAATCCTCAATTACACAATCATGTTCACATTGAAACCATCTATTAATAATATTAAGTGGACTTATGACTTCGATCTGATAATTGTTATTATTTTAATAATATTTATTTTAGTGATAATAAATATTACATTTCTTTACATAAATTCTTATTTAAACTATGATCAGTGACTACATATTTTAAGTTTATGAAATAAAATATATATAAGTATGTAGGGTCGATTTAAATTAATGGTCAAAATAATTTAGGGCGGTGATGACTAGATAATAAAAGACCATTTTTATTAAAATTAAATGTATAATATTTTTTTTTATACATTTATTTTATAAATTGATTGATTATTTTTTTTCATGCTCTGAGTACAATTTAATGTCTATTTCAATTTAATATATTTTTACGTAACTGAAATGAAATTAGTAATAATAATAAGTTGACGACTCCTCTGACATACATAAGTGGCAATTGTGGCTAATATATTTAAATGAACAGCACCAATCGATCAAGGTTCATAGAATTTTATTAATGGTATTATTATATGTAAAACATAATCATATATCATAGTATATAACCAGGCAAACAGAAATAATAATATCCTGTAATATTTTAATATTTGACATCATTATCACCTATTTGTTTACTTAAATTTTTGCCTTTTTTTTAATTATTTGTCAAAGTTAATTTAAGTCGAAAGAAAGATACATCATAACAATGTATATAAAGTTATTAATTTCAGTTGTTTTTATATCACGTCAAATTAATAGTTAAGTATATAAGGTCTAACCGAAATACAAGTATTATAAAAAAGTTTAAAGTATGTGAGTTTGGATGTTCGAAGCAATCTCCCGGTACTATCTGATTACTTATCGGATTTTCAAAATTCTTTCAGTATTGGATAGCCCATTTAACGATGAAGGCTATATGTATAATATCATACTACGACTAATAAGAGCGGAGCTGTAATGTAAAATATTGCCAAAACTGGCAAAATGTGAATCTTAGTTCAGTCGTCAAATAGTGATAATGATAGGTGGTAATGAAGTTAAAAATAAAGAATGGATAATCTTATAATAATATTTAATTACTTGGTAATAATTTCAGAAACACCAGCCAGGTTTGGTCGAGCACACCATTGGATGGCCACTCAACAAGAACACGTATGGTGGTTCTTTCATATACCATCTCAATGTCTCCGAAGGTGAATCGCCACTAGTGGCCGTGGGGTTTGTCGTGGGGCTTGATTATAGCAACCCATACCTCAGTCCCTTCAGGGAGTTCCAGAGATTCAAGCTGCACCCATATGTGAAGACCATGTTTGAAGGTATAGTTTATACAATAAAAAAAATATAATATTATATATTTATACTTCATGATATTAGTTTTAATAATAATTTAAATATTATTTGGTTGGTATGAAATGCATTTTTTTTATTATTGTAGTCTATAACTGACGATGACTTAAAAATATCAAATTTTTTGCGTATATAGTACATAATAATTGTCTATCTTTTTATATGAGTTAACACGTTATGAGTTCACCGGGAAACCTATTTATATATTAAAAAATGTATATGAATTAGTACATACATTTGTGTAACTATAAAAAAACATTTATTGTCGATAAAATAGTGTTTTTAGTTTACATTCAGTTTACGGATGTCAAATTGTCAGAAAAATCTAGATTTTTTTTATAGAAATTAATCACTTAAATGGCAATCAGGAATTGGTTTCAAAAGAAACAAGAAATTCGCCAGTTTTTTTTTATTTACATTTTGAAAGGAGAAAATAAGGAAAAGTTTGTAATTATTGCATATGAGTTATACAATAGACAAGTTACAAGTTGTTATTGCTTGTTCACTAGGTGGCACCCGCGTGGCGTATGGCGCTCGAGCGCTGGTGGAGGGCGGATGGCAGTGTCTGCCGAAGCCCGTATTCCCGGGCGGGTTACTGGTCGGCGATACAGCTGGCTACCTCAACATGCCCAGGATTAAGGGCACCCACAATGCTATGAAGAGTGGTTAGTAGAATTTAACTCCGCAGGGAAAATATAATTAGAATTGATCAATTTTTTTAAGAGATACAGATTTTTTACAGAACATGGAACATCAAAATCAACGTATTTTCCAGTTGTAGACTATGCCTATGTTTAGGCTTAAATTGTAGTATGGATTCGGTGTGTTACGGTTTAGCACAATGCTTCGATACCTCGCGCGGTACAAACAGTTGTATTCGTGAGTATGATTGTTTGTATAGATCTGGGGTGGTGGGGTGTTTTCTTTTTATGCTTTTTATATTGACTACGGGACCAACAACGGCCGGTAAACAGGATTTGAGCGCCTTTGGGCGGGTATTACAATTCTAGTAACCATAACAGAAGGTCTGCGTAACCTGGGACTAGATGGTGCTGTGTGAATTGTCCAATTATTATTATTATGAAATTAATAGTATGACAATACCTTTGCGTTCTTAATTTGGACATCTAATTAATGAATTATTAAACAACATTATTATACCGATATTTTATAGATGTCTAATTTTGTTTTTTATTGGATTAATATTACTTTATTAGTAGAAGGTGTGAGACTACAGATATTCAATGGCCTGACCACCACCATTTCTTTCTTTTCAATGGCGACTAAATGTACTTTCCCCACATTTACAATCTTCCTCATTAGTGACGAATTTCCTATTATTATTGAATCTACGAGCTTACTGCTCTGACATGTATTAATGATAGCAAAATTAAACATAGTAATATTAATCCATTAATTAATTAAATTTGACTTCCGCAAAATAACAACTGTATAAAATATATATATATTATATATAGGTATGCTGGCGGCCGAAGCGGCTGTGGATCTGATATTGTCAGGGGAAGCGACGCACGATAAAGGAATTGTGCCAACGTTGTATGAGGACAAATTAAAAGACTCATATGTTTATAAGGAATTGAAGGTAAGATTCTAAACTATTTATGTTTCAACACATAAATAGTTTAGACTTGATTTTTTATGTACTGTTTTAAATTTGTATAATTAGTAAAAAAACACGGAATCTTACCACGTTTGATTTATTTATTTTTAAATCGGGAACTCGATAAGTCGATAAACTCGAAAAGGACATAGGCACATTTTAAACAAATCTTTCTATAGAAAGTACATTTAAAGAGAGGAACATAGATGTTATTTTATTTTAAGAAATATATGGGATCGATGTATGACAAAATTATTCTATCTTATAAGTTGAACCAAATTTTAAATTGAAAATTGTTTTAGTTTCGTAGATTATGCTAGATAGACAAACATCGTGACGCAAGATTTTTGTATATAAAAGGGTATATTGTAGTGTCGTGTGTGTGTGCCATTTACCTTTTCTGTGTACAGTTCTCTCATCCAGATTGTCTGTAAGAAATTGCTTATAGCGATAAGACCGCCTTTTGTAACTTTCTACTTACTGTTTTTATTATTATTTCTTCTCTGTGCACAGTAAAGAGTTTATTATTATTATGTGCTATATACTTTTTAGAATGCTCTCTTTGATTGGGTGCGACTTGTTTTTGCGGTTGATAATCACCAAACAATGACAAATATATGTATATTTTTTTTTAATTGTAGTTATTATTATTATAATTATTGTATAATAGATTGAAACTTGATTTTTTAGTAACAGTGTAAATGATTCAGTATATTTATATATATGAAAATATTTATCGACACAAAGTTGTGCTATGGGCCCTGTTATTAAAATAGTTCTACACTTGTCTCATATTGTAACATAAATATATTTAATTACAGCAAGTACGCAATTGTCGCCCGTCTTTCCATACGAAGCTGGGTTTATATGGTGGAATCGCGTACTCCGCATTCTCAACATTTGTCCGTGGCAAAGAACCATGGACCTTCAGTCATGCCGGTAAGACTCACTTTTGTATATCTATGCGTATTTCGTCTAAGATGTTATAGTAATATTAATGTACATACTAGTGGTCGCTCAGGACATTAGACCATAATTAATTTAACATTCAGTAAGACTATAGGCAAATGTAAGATTATAAACAAAATATTAAACACAAACAATATTATCTATTCTCAATTTGACTATAGACTTTAACAATACAGAAAAGAGTACATGGCACTTGTGTATGTCAAATAAATGGTAGTGTATGTAATGTTTTTTTATTGATGTAATATAATGTTTATGCAAAATTTAAAAAAGATATAACTATTGACCCCGCAAACGTTGTTTTGCCATATATATTAAAATATAGGTGATAGTGATAGAAGGTTGAAAATGTTGTATTGTTATGTCAGGTGCGGATCATGCCCAACTAAAGCCAGCTAAGGAATGCACGCCGATAGAGTACCCCAAGCCTGACGGTGTTATCACTTTCGATCTATTGTCCTCGGTTGCCTTAACAGGTAATGAAATGTAATTTATATTAATTCGGTTTGCCCGAGAGCTTTAGATATAAACCGCCAAACGATAAGATGTTTATATATTAACATAATGAATTTAGTTTAATAATATAAATAGTAATTGGGTTTTTCAAATCAGGATTGAGTAAGCACTATTTGAGCTTGCGTGTAACAACTTAGACGGCTTCATCACTTAACATCAGGTGAGATAGTGGTCAAACGCGCTCAAATTAGGCAATAAAATAAAATCGTAACATTGTTTGCCATGGTAATATCACAAAAAAAGTAAACAAGTAAGATAAATTTGCAGAGTATCTTTGGGGTAAAGTATATACATAAATAATCGTAAATGATTAAATACCATTGATTTGCATCATCAAATCACTTATGCGAGCTGTGGACTTAACTCTCTGCGCGATGACCCGTCCCGTTAAGAATATATGGTGTGTTCGATGGACCCGAAGCTCGTTTCTGTCCAGCAGGTTGGTTCTTTGTTCACTCAGCGGTCTGTGGCAAGAACGATGAGGCTGTCTCTACCTTTCTTTGTACTATAAAAAGAGAGTGAGACAGAGAAAGAGCGTCAGATTTTGTATGTACTGCATATAAAGTTATGAATAGAAAAGATTAGTATTAAATTACACTATTATTACAGGTGTATACGAATTCGTACCATTGGAGAGCGGCGAAGGCCAGAGATTACAGATCAACGCACAAAACTGTATACATTGTAAGTAAAATGCAACATAACTATATTTAATTTACATTTTACTAAGTGGGTAGACGTTTCTCTAACTGCATGTAAATTTTCTTATGAAAGTAAATTACTTAAATATTTTACTTATGACATTGTATTGCTATTATACATAAGAATATATATCCGAGGAATGTAATATGCGAGTATATGACAATTAGCATGTTTGGACCTTTCTTTGTGGATAAAAACATTTATCATGAGAGAGAGAGAGGGAGACAGAGAAATACGACAGACTTCCATTTGACCGCATTCAGAAAGAGCAGCCAGAATCATTGGTAATCAAATTTATTAAATTACACTATTATTACGGTGTGATATGCATCTCGTGCATTTTCCACCGCATATATCACGGGGAGTGTTCAGAGATTGTTCGGATTAATAGCACAAAACTGCTGACATTTCAACCGTACCAATGCAACATAACTATAATACCATTGATCATTGGATGAAGTGTGTCCACAGTTTCGGTTTTCTGAAATTTTCTTATGCACAATTAAATTACTTAAATATTTTACTTATGACATTGTCTTGCTATTATTATACATAAGAATATGTATATAAGTTCTGAAAAAATACTTCATTTTATCATATTGTATCTATCCGAGGAATGTACAGTATATTACTACAATAAGCATTTTTGTCTTTCGAGCTGGAACCGAACGTTTATCTGTTGAAGTAAACACTCGTTTTTTACTTGCAATTTTGACCCTAACGCGAAACTACCGAAAAAAAAATCAAATCTAATCGTAATTGACCTTAAAAGAATCATCAAATAAGTTAATTAGAGTCACATTGGAAACCATTTTTAAGAATAATTTTGTTTGTTTATCAAATAAATTTCGAATCGTAATTTTATTATTTTTATTTTCAGGTAAGACTTGTGATATCAAGGATCCGTCTCAGAATATCAACTGGGTAGTACCTGAAGGTGGCGGCGGCCCCGCCTACAATGGAATGTAAATGCACACTAGCATTGCATTATTATAAACCTTATAGATACCAAGATTATGATATTAAATCACACGGATGCTTCCAAACGATAAGACCTTTAGCTTATATAAATTTTTATCATGGTAACTAATAAAAAATGTACGCGTATGTCTTACCGGGCGAGACCGGGCGAACTCTATACTCTACGGGAGCGAAGTATAGTATCCTACGAATATGCCTAAGACCAATTAATGCAGAAAAAGCTGGTTGTGATACTAGCATTGTTAAAAATACTTTAGTACTATTGTCATATAAGTGGTTAGTATACATTACCTTCATCGTTTTGGTCTTTATTTCCGATCATCCACATTTGTAAATGACTGCTAACGACTTATTATTAACGATAAGAACATAAAAATACTAATACAAAATATTGATGTCAAAAAAATATTGGGAACAAAATAATTATATATGTAAATTTGTTTTATATTGTGTATCATATGAATAACATAAATATAGAAGTTAAAAACAGATTCATCACGAAAGCATAGGTTGTAACGTGGACAGTGCGACATTTTAAATCATTTTAATATAATTAAGTAAAAGTGACTGGGTAGGTTGAAAAAAAATGTTTAAACACATAAAAACGCTCAAACGAGTAGGTATTGATATGTATATATATTCATATTTAATATTTTGATATGACGTATAAAATCATTTTGATACTAATATTTTATAACAAGGATCATGTCATTATCTGTAAGTAACAACAAACGATGTAGTCGTAGGACTAGTTACTAAACAAATTACTATAGTGTCGTTACATTACCAGTTTTAGTATAACGAGTACCGCTCACGGTATCACGGTAATGGTGAAAATTTGCCTACTAGTACTATATCTGACATTTACATCATTATTGGTTATTTTATTATCACGTAATGTGTTTAGTTGGGTCCATTGAAAATACAAGATTAGAAAATATATTTATTTATATTTTAATATTATACAACAATTAAATATTAAAAAAACGACAGTACAATGGTAGACATAATAAATACTGTGAGTGACGTTACGAATTATAGTAACTATAAGAAATAACTACATGAAATCGAAGTAACGTTACAGTACTTACTTAAATAAATAACTGAATTCTAGTTACTCAATATATTGTTGTATGACATAATAATATGAGAAATAAACAGAAATATGGTCCTATTAGATAATGAAGTAAGAGTGCTAGCGAAGCATTAGTGTTAGCGAAACTAGACACTTATTTGGGTTTTGTCATAGTCAATGTTTTTCTAGTTGTTATTTTTTTAAGACGCACATATGTAAAATGAATATCACTACTATTTATAATACATTGTCGAATATTCTAGATTTTTATAATTGCATAAATATTGTATTTATATCTCATTTTGTAATATTTTTATAAAATGACTATATAATATCGAACCTCAATTAATCTGAGTAATTGTTGTTAAGCATTCGAATAATCGAAAATCTGTATAATTGAAGAGAATAAATTAATAATAAAAATCAATATTTATTAAGAGATTCGACGCACATTTTTGTATATACATATATTTACAATATACATGTAATTGTTACACATATTACAATTAGAATATTCATATATTTGAGTTTGAATAATCACGAACTCGAAATTGAGGTCCAGACAAACGAGTTTACACTATTATTGTACATTAATCAACGGAGACGCCAAAAACAATAAAAAATGTAGATGTTTGTCGCATGCATTGTGTTATATATTTATCGTGCAGCTGTGAGAGTGTACCCAGAGATTCAAAGTTCATTAGATAAGTGTTATTTTTTAATAAAATTTTAGACAGAAATAAATATTTTTCAATATATTCTATGTTCTATTTTATACTTACCATACCTGATTGTAATATGTCTGGGCCGGAACAAATTACAAACAACTAAATATAATTTATCAGGACAGTTCACACAGCGCCATCTAGGTCCAAGCTAAGCAGAGCTTGTGTTATGCGTGCTAAACAACTTATATACCTACACACATAGATATCTATTTTTTGGTAAATACATAAATAATATAGGTACATAGAAAACACCCAAATATTGAAGAAAACAATCATACTCATGAATGCAAATATTTGTTGCGGGTTATATTCTTCGCACGGTGCGAGGAACCGAACCCGCGACCATCGGAAGTAAGACGCTGTGTTAATCTGCTAAACCACAGAGGTCGTCCTGATACTGGAATATAAAAAAATATAAAGTGCAATAGTACCTACGTTGTACCGTATGGTAGGTTTATTCCTCTTTCTACGGATGCGGATGTCCTGGGATAGTATCTTATACATCATATTTCTCATAGAAAAATAAAAACAAGTCTGACGTCCACTTGTCAATAGTATAGTACAGACATGACTCGTCTTTCTGTAAATAATAAATAAATTAACGTTGAAATGACCAAATTATTTCCAATCCTGTTGCAATTGGTGTTGGTAAGTTCTAAAAATGAAACCTTTAATTTCGTCGTAAATAAATTATTCTTGTTTTTCTATAAATATTATCTATGTCCCCCAAAAAGAGAGAGTAGTTGAAACTGGTGCGTAGAAGTGTATGAGAAAATGAATACTTAGTAATATATATTTACAGTCCTTTGGCACTCGACTCGGCCTACATATAAAGGATGTAAGCTATATATTGTATCTATACTTACCTGTACAGATGGTTGTAATTTATTTCTTTCTGCGTACCCACTACATAGCATACAACCAAACATAGTGGTGAATTTGGAAGTATGGACTAGCTGACCTCATGCTCACCTCATCTTTCACTGGAGACTATAATATATCAGTAGCGGAGATAGGTACAACATTCCATTATCATCCATTAAAAATATAAGTAAACAATGTATTTTCTATAATATAGGTACAAAACATATTTTCCAAGTAGGTCAGCAGATACACCGAGGGTACGTGAGTTATTTGAAAAATGGCGTATATTGACACTTTATTGGCTTCATAAACGCACGAGGCAATAGATTGCCCATTAAAATCATTTTCCCTGGCGTAAGCTTGGCCCATAACCCCTTTATGGATACCGTGCACCTGCCCCCGACTTCGTGTTAATGGAAATTTAAAACGTTTATATTATATATATTTTTAGAGGGCGTCATGGCCTTTTAGTTTACTACATCGATTGGGACCCGGAAGTCCCGGGTTAACTTATACTAACTGGTAACTTTGTTAATTTATATACTATATCAAACCAAATTAATACGCCCCTATGCCACACTGGTTTCAGCTAATGTGTGTATGTAAATTGTTGCATTTACTACAATCTCGACAGTTGACCGACTACTTCATAGGGGGTAACAGCTGCGAAAATATATAACTATATATATAAATTATTATGTATTATATTTTGTAATATAACTTCATATGTTTTGTGGGATAAAGTCGAGTCCAAGAAAACATTTCCCGTTCCGGATAATGAGGCAGAGAATACTACTTAGCTAGTCCTTGGAGTTTAATGTTGATAAATGACTAACATTGAAATTTATAACCAATCCATTCAATTGGTTATAAATTTTAAAATATACTTATGCCAGGTGATATGAAATTCACGTCATTTAGACATAAATAGTAATTGTTGGCTTACACACCAAAAGGTAAAAAACGTACCTTACAATGAATAATTATGCAATTTAATCGCGGTGGTAAATTCCGGAAGCGGGCAAAAACTTCAAGCAACGTGTACAATTTAGGCCGACTTAATTAAATTTCAAGGGAACCGGTTTGCACATTAAAAAATAAGATGTAACAGGCAAAATTTATACGAGTAATAAAGTCGCTGTGCCCGCTAACACCCTATTCTGGGTTGATGGGCCATTAACCATTTTTACGATGTAAATTTGTTTAGACCTCAACTTAGCCCTTAATCTTGGATTATGTTTAGTCTGCCTTAGTTAGGTAACTTCATTTGAAGTACTTATTCCAAATAGTAACAATTATAGATATACTATTAAGTAATTAAAATATATACTTCGTGCGTGGTTTTCCGTGTAGAGATGAAATATGGATATGAAATGTATATAATGAAAAGTAATTATTTTTATTTTCATCTCAATAATGCAGCAATTTAATATTATGACTTTAATGATTTAGTGCTAGTTATTAGTTTGTATCATTTATATATACCTATGTATATTTCAACTTAATGCAAGTTTACAATAATTAATTAAAGGAGCAACACGCAAGTTGCTCTCTTGTGATGAGACAACTTTCCAAATGAGCGGTATTCAAAAGTGCTTAAATGTAACTTTACTTGAATAAATAATTTTCTATTCTATTCTATTCTAATGTCGAAAAAATATTGTGATCTTATATATCTCATAGTCGTGAGAATTATATATTAATATTCCGCGGTAATTAAAACAAAATATGAGTACTAATAATAATATTATAACTTAATAGTTCCTTGTCGAACGTATGTTCATCATATATGTATATTCCCTTAATGTCCATCACATCGCTACAGTAGTTTTAATGAAGTCTGTCATAATAAATTTAAGAGCAATAATAACTGAGAAAATTTGTAATTATGAGTACCTACTTTTGTTCTAACATTAACTCGACCCTTCAGTGGCGAACTTACTTTTTGCATGATTATCACGTGTGTATGATGTATGATTATATCGGATTAAGAATGTTTTATATTACAATTAAGGTTGTAAAGTAATTGTCAAAATTTTAAATGCTTGAAAACTTCAATTCAATTTAATTTATTACGTTTCTTTAGAAACTGTTCAGAGCTGTGATAATAACAGCTTATTACAATGGCCTGGCGGTTATTTCTCGGCAAACTTAATAGTTTATTCGTTTATTTGATTCAATGACTAAGTAATATGAACCTTATAAATCTAATAATACTTTTATCCTCATACTTATCATCTTTTACTTGTACTATAGGCATACTATAGGCTATTCATTGTTCCTATACTACTAACCATATAAAAAATATAAAAATGAATTAACGTTTGTTAATCTCGCTAAAACTTATTTTTGAGTTGCTTGATTATATTATGCTAAACTTATTTGAATTATCTATTTTTTACTTTATTCCTTCATTCCTTTATTATTTTTTACTTTACCCCTCGTTTATTAAAAAGTAGCATAACTTAAAGTGACGACTCTGAAGTTGTATAGCAACTCATAAGAAATGCTAATTTTGTATGGGAATCGTAATTTTGGATTCAATTTCATAGATGATGTTTGGGCTCAATCTATCGGACGAAAGACAGTATGTTATTAATCGAAATATACCTAATATTGTTCAATTGGAGTTTGAAGTTTTATTAGGGTTGTTATTCGCTAATCAAGTTACAACAAAATATATTGGGCATTGTGGGGGAACGAAATTTTCTCAATGATTTAGTCTTCACTAAAAACATATGTCGCTAGTGTAGGTAATATTCAAGAGTACAAATGGGACACAACTTTTTACGTTTAATTTCGTTCTACGACTCTGTCCAAATATCACCTGCCAATGTTTCAGTTTAGCGCTAAAGTGAATTTTTATAAACTCATTTATGCCGTCATTCGAGTTCCACAAAGACGGGCGAATTGAAAAAGTTTCTAGAAATTTAATTCCAGTTTTGAACAAAGCGTTTTGGCTTCCGATGTGTTGTATTTACTTTATATTTTTTTTATTTTCTTCATCTATGTAATTAGTTAGTGTGCTTATATTTTTATTCTTAGAATTTAGCGTTTATTTTGTACAGTTTAGAAGTCTATTTTTATATTCATTTAGTCCACAAATCAATACATTAAATGAGAATGACAAACAAGAAACGGCTAGTGTCATAAAAATATGATCATGTATTATTTATGAATGTTCTTTTAAATGTTTGTATTGCAAAATTTATTTTAGTTCAAAACGTAACGTCCATTATGCTGACATCAATTAGATTTTTTATTTTTTGGTTACAGCAAATATGTAGTAGATACCCGTATTGATGATCATGATGTATTTAAATCCATGCAGCTTATGTGAGACCACACAAATGTTTACACAAATGTTTTATCACGGTGGGGTCAGCAAAATGTTTGTGTGTCGGATTCCAAAATGTTAATTGTTTCAAAACGTTTATTTAAATTGGTTTACAGATATTGAAATGTTATACGCGTACACGGTCACAGGATTAACAATTGATCCAAATTCCTATGCACTGTTTTTTCATTTGAGTCGTTGTTGTTGGATTGAATGCTATTCCCGCTGTGATATTCCGCTCGCTCCTCTATCTTTACGGCTTGCACATAAATATTACATAATATTATTCTTTTACACTTGTATCATTAGTCTACTAAGGAAGCTAGCTCCTAATATTTTAGCGAATATATCACTGTATATATTACTGTAATCTAAACTATCCAAGTCAGACACTTCTTTCTTCCACTAGGCGGATGTTACATTACATATATTACATACATTACCATTGCGTCATAATATTTGTATCCGAAACTTGATACAAAAATATATTTACTAGTACTCCTTGTATTATCAGAGTGATACTGCTATCGACGTTAAACCAAGTTAAAAGTTACTTTACGCGATCAAAAAAAAGAGAGTTTTATGTAATTGGTATAATTTTATGCATTTGAAATAAGTATTATTATAATAGAATAATTCCTTTCAGTCTACAGCTGAAGATTACTACTATAATCCTATGAACATATCTCGTACAACCTTATCCGGAATAGCAGCGTACCGTTCTGCCTTGACATTAGATTGGTTGGCGGCAGAAGACTCCAGACAGAGGGAATTGGCTGCAGCATTTGAGACGGAACCAGCTCCTCCTGTGAAGGTCCTCACGACGGATTGCATAGCGTACCCAAGACCGTCAGCAGGCAAGATCGCGAAGCTCATGTTGGAGCTATTAAAGTAATTGTGCTTTAATGTCATAAAACTTGGTTTAGTTGTACAGCAATTGATTGATAGGATACTGAAGTAGTATGGCACCTTAATGCTCTGGAATTTCTTATGAGTAATTTGTGTCACACGATTATGTCACATCAAATTTGTGATGCTGCATCATTAATATACATACGCTGCGCAAATAAATTCATATGGGAATGATAACGAAGTTTGATCAAATACGATAGGCGTGGAATTAATAATAAAACTATTCTAAAAATGTAATTCGTTAAAATATCACGTCACATAGCTATGTAATTCTATTTAAAGGCGTAATTGTAACCTTGTTAGCCTAACCTACTACCTATAGATATATAAATCATGATTAGCCTATTATCATCAATAAGTGATGTCACTATTCAATTTTATTTTAATCGGTAAAGTATTTTTAGATGTCTCAGATATTTTGCTGTTTACAGACAGCGAAAGCGACTTTGTTTTATACTATGTAGTGATTTAACATTAATTATACATAAAGTAGTAAGTACATTACATTTGGCGGACTTAACACCATGCGGGATTCAATATTTTACAAGAAGTCTAGATGACTTTGCTTGTAAAATATTGAAGTTCATCCAGACTATACAATATTTTTAATGTAAAGATTAATACAAATTATCTGTCTGTTATCTTTTCCAGTTTAAAGTACTAAATCAGCTTTAATTAAAATTATTATCATCACTTTGATCGCCGTTCCAATGTAACATTAACTGTTAAACTTGCTTTGATTTCCACGATACAGGCATAGCGTAGTGTGAAGTCATAGATAAAATGGTACCTAAATATAATAAATGTTATTGTTATTCTTAATTAATTTTATATAGAGATAGAGCGAACCTTGGCCAAAAATATTTGTAAAGATTTCGTATTATGTAGCTGGAATGGAAAAAAGTTTATAAATGAATCTGGATGGCGTTTGAAATATAATAGTTAAGACTAAGGTTCACGTTACTTTTTAATCTACTCAAATCTGAACTTTGGTCAAAAGTCCTTAATTGTAGTTATTTATTACGGTTTACTTAAGATTTTTGATTTTTTTTCTTAAAAAAGGTAAGAATTTTGTGAAAATTTCAGAAATCTGGAAGGCGATGATGGTACGTTAGTTCCTAATCTAATTCAATCACTGATTCGCACTAAAATCTTAGTTGAAACTTCCTTGTTGGATGCTGAACCAGATTTCGAGGCGCTGGTGAGGACCCCCGGTGTGATGATGGGTGAACCTCACGTAACATTCCCGAGAATACTTGCTATGACTTGGTTGACAGTCACTGACCCAGCGTCTACTGGGAAGTATGGATGGTGTCCCATAAACAAGGTGTGAGTCTGCCATATTTTTAGAGCACAGGGCCAAGCGATTTTTTGTATGTGGGGTTTCAGGTGATAGAAATCAAGACGACTAATCAGCAGGAAGAATGTAAACAGTATTTACTATATGGTGACTATATATTGGAGAGCATAAACCAAAGTAGAGGGCCTGTCTGTACTGATTCGTGAGATAGAGTTTTGAGATAAATTAAATTGATAGATTTTGGCCATTTTTTATAAAAAAATTACGTAATTATCTCTAGCTGCCTGAATCCCTGTTGTTTAATTCATATTGCAGTTTACATAGATAAGCAAATCGGGTAACATATTTATAAATCTTACCTTGTGATAAGGCGTAAATGTCAAAAGGTATGGTGGTATAAGACCTTACGTTACGACATGTAAAGTGGGAGATCTATGTTTATAAGTGAATGTTGTATATGATTCCATTTTAAGTAAATTCTAAATTACTTTTGCAGGTGAACAAGTATTTGTCAATGACAACACCAATACATATAGCGAAGAACATGCGAGCGTTGGAGCCAATTTTGGCGAGAGCCCGGTTCATCATGGAGGAGTTTATACAAAGTGTGACACCTCTGAACATGTACCAAAAAAAAACTACCGCAAGCAAACACATAAAGGTAAACCAAGAATGGTGTTCTCTGAATACATACAGAGAATATAAATAGTATTATATATTGAACTACTGCATACAAATTGTAGTAATGTTGTAGAACATTTTGATGTATATTCTTAACAGATTTCTAGCCAAAAGGACTCAATGTTTAAATTGTGGCACAATATTTTACATAGCTATACAATGATCTGGGTTTCTATAGCTGTTTATGATATTTCTTATATTTCAATTAATTACGACTCAAACTCTGTCACAACTGCTCACATTTCGTGTTTGAATACTAAAATTGAAATGTTACGTCACAAAATCTATAGGTATATAGGTCCAACATTTGTGATTCGTGATTTTTATACACGAAGTATAATTCTTCCAAACCTTTGTTATACAATATCATACTGTCGAGTCTTCTGTGTACTTTTAAAGTGCAACGTAATGTATGGATATACTTCCTATAAACATCTAAAAATGATTTTTCTTTATTATAGTTGAAAAAGATCGAGGCCAACGTTCCGAAGAGAAAAAGGAACAAAACAAGATCTTTACGTACACATGTGAACGTTAGTATATATAGTAGTGTTAGTATTAGTGGTATTCGTATTATTCTATAGATATACTGGCAGACAACATTTTGCTCAGAAAAGCAGCGCGACCAATTGTATTTTCAATACATCCCAGGATAAAATTTTATACACACAAAATGTTATCCAAATCGCTCCAGCAGTTTAGGAGGAGTTAGGTGACAAACGTACGTACAGTTGAATTATAAATCTTACTATGATAATGCTACGGTATTCAGATCCACTTTTACTACTTTTTTCATAATAATAAATACATTTGCGTCTCTTTTAATCCTAGTGTAAACTTTAAATGGTTGTACTGTTTTACAAGTTAAATATAAAATTTATAAATCATTTACATAGTGTAGTACCATGTAAATACTCGTGTCACAATGTCAGTTACTCTTCCGAAACGGCTTGTCCGATTTTTATGAAATTTTATATGCATATTCAGTATGGCTGAGAAACCGCTATTAATTATTTTTCATACACCTAAAGGGTTGTCCCCACATTTGTTTAAAATTTTTGTACATTTTTTTTTTTATAATGTGGCATTAAAAATACAGACAATCCTGTATATATATTTATATGGCAAAACAACGTTTGCGGGGTCAGCTAGTATATCATATATTTTGCGCTGTTTTTATTAAGGAATTATTAGTTCGTGAATCATCTGGCATTTTATAACACTTGTTTTTTGAGGTTTATGACAGTAAAATTACAGGGTTGTTATATGACTGCTTAGGAATGGCAGTGTATGAGTGATACCATGGGTGTTACAGATTAATTTTGCTATGTTCGTAGTGCTGTTTATATAAACTAGTAAAAACAGCCAGTTTGCTATATTTACATATAGTTGAATTTACTTTATATTTCAGGATGAAGCGTACAATTTGGCTAAAGCGTTATCACTAACGTCACCGGAGACAGAGCAACCTTTTATTGATAGCGGTGATATTACTATGGTTGACGGTGCTAGTTTCCAGCAAATATCAAAATTTCTTTTTATGATTATTATTGTCATTTTGTAATTAATAAATTGTCGATACATCTATTCCTCTTTAGTTTCAATTTACACTTTAAAATTACTATGGTAGACGCTCTATAAAGTAATATAAAAGTATAAAGTTATTACAAGGTCATTATGACATCATGTGGCGTTCGTGTTATCTGTCATTCCGGAGGACTTGCATATTATGTTTCAGTACCTTGTAATTACTCTACCATACACCAAATATCTCACTACTCATATAGCGCCATCTAGTTATTGCTTGCGTAGGGCTTGTTTTAAGGGTACTAGATAACTGATATAAATACACGTCAATACACTCAAATCGATACAAATAATCATACTCATGAATACAAATGTTTATAACGTGTGAGGAATCGAATCAAGCGGTGTGCAAAACCGCTAGACTATCGAGGCCGTTAAATATCTCACACGAACCGAAACACATCTTACAAGACAATTTGATTAGCGGCGTCTGTTTACGTCTACGTAAGACAGAATAAAATTAACCTCTACCAAAACTGTACTCGATTTGTACTTAGACTTTGTAATCTAGAAAAATAACTGATATTTTATTAGGTTCTGTACCTTAAGAAAGAGGTTTGGTGTCTTTTGAACAGTTATTTTCTTAGTCTGTCACATCTGACAGTTATTATCTGAGAATTGTTTGCTCAGTGGAGATAATCACAATGGTGAGGGTGGATATAAATTAAATATATTGTTTTGTACCTGAAAGCAAATTAACATGCGTCTGTCAATACAGATATGGGATCAAAGCTGAATCGTGTGTTGTTTTGGTTACTTATAGTGGTATGTTTGTAATAATGTTACGGTCTAAATTGATTTTATTGCTTAGGTAATTAAAGTTCAAAATATTAAATTCTGCCCATTTACTTCTAAATTACTGCAAAATTTTGCATAGAGAATAATTGCTTATATGATTGAATGAATCTATATGCAGAAAAAACATTTTCATATCTATATGTCGTACTTGTATTATTATTCCTATAATTTTAGTATCCCTCTTTGTCGGTGGATATGGGTTTTGATTCTGATCTCTTCGAGGACCGATGGATTTTTAGAGATATGAAACATCAGGAATATTCAGATGCTCCTTGTACTAAAGTCCGTCCTACAACAAGGGACATTGTCCGGAGATTTTACGCCATATTACCTTAGTAAGTATAATCTATATATGAATACATGAAGAATATGAACATGAACATGAACAAAAACTTTGTACCCCTTTTTAAGGAAATTGCGCTGACGGAGCAGTATAAACATGCGTAAACATATAGCTTATATAGGGAAGAAGAGCAGCAAGCACTACTACTACTAATATTTTTTTTTAATTATCAGTAAAAAATGCATTAAAAAAAATGTTACACACATTACCATATATTTGACACATACACGCATATACATATACTCTTTTGTTTGTTATTTGTTATTGGTCATGGTCAAAATCTTTATGTATTTTTATTATGGTAGAATTTCGACCAGTAGGCGACCACTACTGGTCGAAATTCTAAATGGTCTAAATTATACAGTAATATTAATACCATAAGTAGATTTGATACAAAATAGATGCCTCCCTCTGACCTACTTCAGCCGCCAAGCAGCTCATTTGGAATCTGTATTTTGGTTAAAGGATGAGATATGGTAGTGAAATTACAAGGCATGTATTAATATTAAGGGCATTAAAGGATAACGTGATATTCATAATTCTGTTGATGTGCATAGGCGATAGTTGTCACTTACTGTCAGTAGAGCCTTCAGATCATTTGCCACTAACAGACTAATTTTCACGTCGTTGGTGGTCTAACCGTTTAGCACACCGCTTATCCTCCGAAGAGCGCGGGTTCAATTCCTTGAACAGTACAAACATTTGTATTTAAAAGTATGTTAGTTTGTATCCATCTGGGTGTTTTCTATGTATGTATGTATTTACAAAAACATGTATTTATGTATTTACATCAGTTGGCTAGAACCCATAACACAGGCTCAGCTTAGTTTGAGACTAGATGGCGTTGAGTGGGTTATTATTATTATAATAAGACCTATAATTGGGTTGTAGTGATCTAGTGGTTTACAACCACGACGTACTCCCAAGAAAGTATCCATGAGCTTAAATCTGGGCAAACGAAAAAAATTGTTTTTATATTTCTGATTGACTATCCGGTGTAAACACCAATATCGAACTAAAAGATTAATCCGAGAGAGATTCGCTTCATGCCATGTTAAATTAAAATATAATCTACGAAGTATGGGCTATAAATATGTTGTGTTCAACCAGACGTCAACAGTTGACAATGCCTTTGACTACCCCATCTGATACAACAGTCGTGATGGTAACTTCCACGTGGACTATCTGTTATATCATAAAGCAGACAAAGTAGTGGGTTAGTAAAACCACAGATAAGATAATAGTATAACTGATTTCACCTTATGCTTATCTTCTTATCCTCCACTGGTGCCCCGCCAGCGTATACCGTAAGCGCTGGCGGGTCACCATTTCATTATCACCCATTAAAAAAGACACTGTATAAAGAATATTTTTGTTCATTAGTTGATGTACTTTTAGTTTCGATAAAGAACACTCAAACAGCGCTTTCTTGCATAAGTTCCGAGGGACAGTATATGGAATGTCGGAGGGAGATGAAGCTCTGGACCGGGAGGCAGCATTTTATGCGGCGGTACTAACTCCGCTGGTGTTCCTACAACAGTACAGAGACAACTGGTGTTTGCTAGAGAGGGTATGATTCCATACAAACGAATAACTTTTATAAAATTCTAATAGCTGATGGCATCTAGCAATAGCTAATATATTAATAATTGATTGATTATATTATTCATTTAATAAAATGAATGTAATTGGTTATTTTACGAAAGTAATCAGATTTACGTCTGATGGTTAACGGTTACTGTAGTTTATGGACACCTGAAACACCAAGGGTATGCCGCGTTTATATACGTGCGCCGCTGGCCCTTAAGAAACCATAATACACCCCTCCTGAAAGGGGGGAAGGGGATAGTTAGTAATGTGGACTGATGGCCCCATTGCTAGCAATGTACTACGTCAGGTTGACCTCCACGCGGTTCCCTCTGAAAACCATCGTGATAAATTGCTGGTGAATTTATTACGATGGGCTAACTAACCTGACCTCATGCTCATCTTATCATCCTCCACTGGTGCCCCGCCCCGTAAAGGGGCCCCCTGCAGGCAGGGGCTCCATTCCATTATCATCCATAAAAAAAAACCCTGTTGAAAACCCCTTTAGAATAGAACAGAATAGATAATTGTAATCCTTAAATCCTTAATAAAAAAAAAGTATATTTATTAAAACAAATAATCCATGGACTTGACGTCGTCATGTTACACTCATGCACCCATATTGTATCCGTACCCTGTGATTTAGGTGCTGTAATAACAAAATGTAACAAAACCTGTATTATTTATTACTAAAATAGTTCAAATTTCCAAATATGTGACGTGACAAACTGTGACGAGGACTAAGGGAGAGGACAATAAACACGAAATTGATGTGACTTAATTTATGGTTGGATACATTAACAGCATAGGTATGAAACAATTAACAGTATAGGTATCTCAGATAATAACTTAAGCTACTTTGTGCAAAATATATGTAATTTACCGTCTTGTGAATTATTGTAAACTAAGTATTGAAAACTATTCCTTTTAAAAAGGTTTTCACTATTTTTCTTTGCAGTTTCATCGAGCCATACGTCTGTATCAGATTTCTCACCCAACCGAGAAGAGGTCAGCTTTGAAATTGCTGCAAAATCTCAGACCTGTTAATCTTAAAGTAAATTATTTATTAATTTGTTTCTCCCGACTTTGGTTGTGACATAAATAAAACATAGGCTATGTTTGAACTCTTATTAAAATCAGTTCTCAAGTCAAATTACATTAAGCTCGACTTCGCTGTTTAGTCGTGAAAAGGTAAGAAACAGAAAGACACATATTCGAAAGCATAAAATTAGTATGCATTATACGTTATAGATAAGCATTTTGACGACCTCGGTGGTCTAGCGATCTAGCACACCGCTTTACGTCCGATGGTCGCGGGTTCGATTCCTCGCACGGCACAAACATTTGTATTCATGAGTATAATTGTTTGTATCGGTCTGGGTATTTTCTATGTATAATATGTATATATTTACGAAAAAAAAATTATCTATGTATTTGTATCAGTAATCTAGTACCCATAACACAAGCTTTTGCTAGCTTAACTTCGGTCTAGATGGCGCTGTGTGAATTGTCCTGAGATTATTATTATTATTATTATTTAAACCTGGAGAATAACTAGAGGATTATTAATTACATTTTATTTCTTCAGCCAGCAACTGTCTCGAAGCAGATAGGTACGAATAATGTCATACCTGTTCATACCTCATATAGTCATTTCTAATTCCAGATAAGAACGTTTATCTCCGACCTACCAGGTCCTACTGCAGTCACACGTACTACATTAGCCGATATTGAAGATGAGGAATTCCGCGATAAGAAAGATATTCGATACCTGAAGGAATTAATTAAAAACCTTGGTTGAGTTCATAATGTTTTATTTTCTATAATATTTTTCAACCTAATACCACAGATAATATAATAATACTAATACTGAGATTTTTTAATTAAGAGAGCGCGTAAACACAAATTATTATGTCTATGGGAAGTTAAGGAATACGTCTTTTTAAATTTGTACGTAGTTTGTTGTTCACTGACAATTTTGTATATTCATACAAAGTGGATCCCATTGTAGATGCAACATGTTACATTCAGTAGATGAGTTATTTGTTACTGTGCGTATAAATATTTGCATACATGAAGCGACTTGATATATATTAAAATCTGATTGTACAGGCTACTCTAATTAAGGTTCTTCATTATTTAGTTATTTCTTAGCTTTCAATAGAAGAAATATTGACTGTAATATTTTTTACCCGTTTTGCCAAAAACTATGATATTTCTGCATATGTCTTTTAACCTTAGTCATCCTATTCGTAATAACAAAAAGAATTTCTTTTGTAGATGGAACAACATTTTACCATATTTTCAGAGAATATACAAATCACTTACTATGGATTATAGTTTGATTATGTATAATATTTCTACTTTACTAGCGAATATGTTTCAACTATATCGGAACGGCAATTGTGAATAAAATAATAGAGAGGATTTTAGTATATTGCCTCTGCCGTGTATAAGTAAGGTAAATCAACAGGCATGATGATAGGCATATCTATAGATACATATAAATAAAATTGGAGTGTCTGTTTGTAATATTGAAATAATCGTTTTTTAATACATGCATGTGAATATAAATACGGTACATACACCAAAATAACATTTTTTTTCAATATTTGTGTCTGTCTGTTTGTTCCGGCTAATCTCTGAAATGACTGGACCGATTTTGACGTGACTTTCATTGGCAGGTAGCTAATGTAATAAGAAGTAACTCTCGGCTTACTTTTATTTTAGAAAATAAAGTTAAATTCCATGCGGACTAAGGCGCGTGTACAGCTAGTATAATAATAATATTCTAGGTATATATTGTATAGTCACAAAATAATAATTTATTATATTCATACAATAAAAAAGCCTCTTAATTTCTTGCTTTTATACCAAGTTACAGTGTTAGTAAATTACAATTATTTTTTTATATATATTTGTTAGTTTATTACTTATATTCTTCTGCTGTGTTTATTTATTATATTTAACAGGTGTATTCGTATATTCTGTTTGTAGTTATGGCGGTGAATTTCCATGTTTGGCCTCCGTACATCAATTATGGTAAGAGACTGGTATACATTCATGGCTTTCGTTTTAGTAGCTATTGGCATATTACTCTTGAAATTTTCTTTAAGGCTCCACTATTTGTTCAATGTTTGTTTTATTCGTCTTTATATTTCTAATGTGTTATTATTTCTGTCAAAACTTTTTCTTTCTCCTAGGTGTATATATTTTTCTACATATTCCAGTAGCTCACCATTAATTATAATAGATATTTTCAAGCTGATTCATATTACATTAGTTTTAGTTAGGTACCTTAGTTTAATTTATTATATATGTAATTTAAATTGTAAACACACTTATACGATTACACTCTTAATCTACTATATAATGCACATGCGCAAATTAGCTATCCAAGTTGATAGGTAAAAAGAGATATTCATCATCTACACTCAAATCAAATCAAACTAGTTTAATTCATGTAGGTCTAATACAGACACTTATACCAGCATGTCTACCGGCGGTTCGAAATGTAGTTCGAGAAGAACTGAAAGGAAATACCGTTCTTACTCTTTTCAAAATTCAATGAGTTAATAGGTACTATATATATAGTACCTATTAACTCATTGAATTACTATACATACATTAATTAATTAGGTACATATTAAAGCTTCTGTTTAGGATGACATCATAAATACAAACGGCATGCACATCGTAAAAGATTCGATGCCATCCATGATAGTATATTTATTTATTTAACTTCAACGCACACATTATAATATATAGTACATTTGGCGGGCTTAACACCATGCGGTATTTTCTACCAGTCAACCATTGGTAGTGCAGAAAATAATCATTGGCAGTGTAAATATAATAAATGATAAACAAAGTGCAACAAAATATAAACAGATCGAAGTATGTATAGTTGCGTTTCCACTCCAGAGGATATTATATTTTCCGTGATATAGTGACTAAGCTTATCATTACAATATATTCAAGTATTGTCCATTAACGGTACGTATATTATTAAAATAAATACTAATAATTAGTAATATTAATAGAAACATAATTAACACTAAAAACAGAAGAAAAATCAAGAAATTATCACATGGTCTGTCGAAATTGTTACTTCTAACATAGCAGTTTGGTAGGTCTGAGAAAGATGGTTTATTTAATCGCACATTTTGTACTTTGTTACCGGAAATATCGATTGTACCGAATCTATAGTCTCCTCTCATGATCGTAGCACGGACGTCTATCTGCATTGGAAATGACTTTTTGATGTGTCTGAAAGAATTAAATGAATAATCATCACATTAAAAAAAACTATTAATCTGTACTTCATAACGAATGATCTGTGCGATCATAGAGCAAGAAATATACTATCCTCAGTGAAATAGTGCGATATTTGACATCTACCTATTCTGTTGTGTTCGCTACAAGCTTGACTGTTAACAATATCTCAGACATTCTCATTTGGTATGGGGGAAGAGGTTTGTTAGTAATGTCTGTTGACCTCATTGCTAGCAATGTACCATGTCAGGTTGACCTCCAGGATGGTGCCACCTGGTGACTATCATGATAAATTCTTGTTGAATTTGAGTCTTTATAGGCTAACTGGCCTGACCTCATGTTCATTTTAAAATCTTGTATTGGTGCCCCGCCGGCGTAAACCCATAGCGCAGACGGTTTCACCATTCCCAAAAAATTCCCATTTCGGAATGTAGTCGTAAGAATATTTTTTTTCAATACCAGTAGATACGAGACACTTGAAAATTGTTAAAAACTATTTTCAATTCACTATTTACTTTAAATTTAGGTGATGCTAATGACATAGTGACATGACTGCGCTAAAGGTATACGCTGGCGGGGCACTGATAAAGATGATGGGATGAGGATGAAGTCAGTCAGCCAATTATGGCAATTCAACCAGAAATTAACAACGACATTTTCTAGGAGGACTCCAATGGAAATCAACTGGATGATAGGGGAACATTGATAATAATTTATAATAATGAGACATAGTGGTCTCATTATTATGAAATCGAGTATGAGTTAAACAAGTATTGGGAATGAGAGAAAATATGCTTACTCGTATAGTATGGTTTTGTTACTCCAATCAACTGTTCTGAGTGTGTTATTCACATGAGATATACGGGCACGTAAGTTATAGTCCTCCTCATCGTAGTTCATATCAAATGCAGATAATTTTATGGAGAATATATCTATGAATGGAAAGCCCTGAAAGAAAAAAAGTGTAACATATTATAAGCGGAGACTTTATTATAGTTGCAGGATTGCCGCTACACAGACAAAACCGTAGTAGTTACATGTTATTTAGTGTTATACAAAATAAAATTAACAAATTGACTTTATTTAAATTGAACGTATAGTTTTTTTTCAATTGAATGTATAGATCTTGAATTTGAAGGTAGAATAGAAATAGACTTTATTCGAATATACATACTTCAAATAAAATTTATATGTACTTTTTTTAATCACTTCATTTATTCATTTTTTCACTTGTATTTTATTTGTAGTTACTGTTATTATCAAACATGAATAAATTTCAATTATTTTATTCATTTCAATTTATAATCATTGGTGGATATATATACGAATATATTTATATTTATTCTATATTATTTATCACAGTATAAAGTCGGTTTTCTTGGATAACAAAATATAGTTCAATATCGTTTGTATCTTATTATAATTTTAATCACTTCATCGATACTTCCGACCTAAATCCATCATATTGGACTACATTTATAAGAAAAAAAATATTTTTTTGCCGTCCAATGAACGAAAGCAAAAAACATTTCATAAAAAGATTATATAAACATTTGTAATTTGCTCTTCTTAACCTCACCTTGCGTGGCATTGTCAGAGGTACGTGTTTGAATATAAAGAAGGCAGAAAGTTTGATTTTAATAATATCTAAAGGAATGTCTATATTGAGCCAGAAAGAAACAAAGTCGCATATGAAATTCAGTTCGTTTTTAAATACGGAAGTTTATATACCTTCCTGTGCTTATTTTGAACAGGGCATCTGAATATCCAATGTGCTGTGATACCATTGCTCCTTGCAGCCTCCATTAGTTTTGCTATATTATAGTCTTCTACATTCGCAATTATTATTCTTACTTTATATTCTTGATTAGTATATTTTAGTTCCGACAGACCCTGAAATGTTTTCGAATTATGTGTAAACAAAAAATGTTGCATACAACGAATTAATAATAATAAGAGGCAAAACAATGTTTTTAGTATGTAGGTCCATGTCTAAATTATTTATTATTAATATAATTCAAATAAAATAATCATGCTATTTATATATACATATATTATGTTGGAATTTTAATTAATGAAATTCATTTGTATGTTTACTGTACTAGTAAAATATTATAAATAGGCAATTGTCTTCATAAGAGTAGGAAGTAAAGTAAAAATAAAAATATTTTTTTATTGTAAAAATGTTATGTAGCTGGTCCGTCCTGTAAGATTCTGATGAATTGATACGCGAGGTTAAATTTGGATGTCGTGTCGACCGGGTCGACAATATAGTTTTACTACCAGCGGAATTGAAGAAGATATGAATACAAGTTTTGGGTGCGTGAGAGAACATCAAACGCAGGTCCAAATTTGAGAGAGAAATTGCTGAAACTAAGGTACCAAATAGTTTTAAATATAGTCTGTATAATTGAATTGTATTAATATTTTGTAGCATTTTCTTCTTATAATATTTTTAGTTGAAAGATTTTTTCTTCTTAGTCAACACGTTCTTGATGGCACGATCTGGTCACCATGTAGAGAAGTCTCTGCCATTATGACATCTTGCCATTTTTTCCTACTAGTAAATTTGAGGGAACTAGTAAGTTTTTATAATGTGTTCAGTTAATAAAATAAAAGGTTGACTTACTTTATCAAAGCAGTTATTTTTAGCCTGGTCATATTCATCATTCATGTTATAAAGGCACTGTTTTACAGCATAAACAAATTCAAGTTCATTAAAACGAGAAATTAATTCATTTTCAAATATTTCACTAAAATAAGAATCATCAGATATAACTGCAATGCGTTTCCATGCCATTTCTTGCAGAAATCGGACAAGAGCATGTACGACTGGTTGCCATGGTAAAAAGGTAACGGAATTTGGATAATTTTCTTCGAATTCAGGAAGCAGGTAATTAATATCATAGAAAATATGTGGAACTGGCGAATAAAAATCTAAGGGCGATGGAGCTAAAACAACAGCAACATTATCTGGAATCTCGTTTGCTTTGCATTTAGAAATTATTGGTCCCAGATTAGATTTATCGAAAGCCTCACTTCTTACACAAATTGAAGGAGTATGTCTCTTCGGTACCTTTTTTGGCGTATCGTCTGTAATATTTAAATAGTTTAAAACAATATCAATGATATTGTTATCTATAGATTTGCTAAATGCAGCCAGTTCGTGTAATTGTATCTCTTTTATTTTACATGGCGTATCTTGACTAGTGTTTGTAAAATCTATAACACAATTTGTTTTATTTGTCGTAACTCTTCTATTTTCTTGGAATGTTAAGTTTGGTTGAACTGTACTTTCTTTATTATTGTAAAGGTTAACCTTCAAATTAATAACATCGCTGTAATTTAAAAGTATACAATGTTATTAAATGTGGAGCTTATATGTAAAGTCTAAAATATCCTAAGCCAAAAAATGCAAATGTTTGTCATCCCAGATTAATAGTAATAGGCATAATTTGTCTGTTGTCAACGTTTATTAACCATTCGTAAATTTTATTTATTCAATATCCTTTCAAAGCTTCTCGAATCTAACTGTTGTTTTAAATTGGCAATGTGTGTGAATGTATAATTTTAAATACAATCATCTAATATAATATTAATAATATATTATTTATATTAAATTGTATTAAATATATTTATCTCTAGATATACATAATGAAATCACTAAGTTCTTATTATGTGACTTATAATACAACTTACGTGAAATTATTAACTGCTGATATAGTTTCTGACAGTGAGCCATTATTTACCGGTAATGTTTTAATAGTGATAGAAGCGTCACTTCTATTTATGTTTTCCATGAAATCATAGTTCATGCTTATGTGTTCAGGATTTTTAGTTTCCAAGAGATATAAAACTGGCCTTGAATTGATATCTGAAAGTGACTTCGAAGTATTACGATTTCATAGAAAGAACTAAAACTCCTTATGATATTCTAAGATTGCACTTAATTGCTTTCAAATAAAAGGTAGGTCTTTGTTAACAAGTTAGATTTTATATATTGTAAACTTATATGTAACGTTATATTTATACATTTCAATAGTAGAAATGTAGAAAGAAATTTATACTAATATTACAAAATAAGATAAGCGGATTTCGTTATAAGGAAAGTAAACGAGTTAGAGAATGAGAACTAATATACGTATAGATATTCAAAGTATCTGATATGAACAAGAACAATATTAATATATCTGTGATTTTTTTTTCGTACTACTCTAATGCTGTTGGCCGCAGCTGGCCTTTATAGCTTCACCGGACGTTAGGGGGCGAGTGCAGATGGCACTCCAAACCCGCGGAAGGACTTATGGAGCGGCTGAAGGCCAACTCCTGCCTGACGGATACGACTTTAGTCTGAGGGCACCACTAGGGGTTCGAACCTCGGCTCAGGCCGTCGTAATTTCGATCCCCGTTTAAATTGGACGGGGGATCGATCGGAGGGGATTAATATATCTGTGAATTGTTACGTTATGTTACGTAGACCAGTGACATTGGTACCTACGTACTATGTACTACTACTATGTAATATTATATTATCTGTGCTACTACTATTGATATATATTGATATGTTTTTGAAACCTTAAACTTTAGGGGATTGTTTGGATTTAGAAAGTCGTATAGATCTTTTAATTACTGAGACGGGAGAGTAGTTATATTAGACTATCTCAACTTAAAAAAAAATATCATAGAGTGTGTTCACAGATCTCGTCGTCTGACCACACACTGTATTGAACACTAACTATGTCATTCATATAATTTAAATATATATATATATATTATAAGTATGCATTTATTTATATTTATATAAATATATATGTTTTTACTCACCTGAGTAGCCGCTAGTACCATAATTACTTACAATAGAACATATCAATGTTAACTCAATATACCGGACGAATAACTTCATTTTGCAAACACTTAACTTGAATTTATTTTTACATACACTGTCATTTCAAACTACTGTATAATATTAACCATTTCGTACTAACATATATTTCATTTATTTCGTGCTTATGTCTACTTATCAGTACAGGATAAATAAAATGGTTAATACGATCTGTCCATTGAGTTATTACTGGAAAATATCAGAGAAGACGTTACAATTACAAGTTAAAATATTATTGCATTTTATATATTTTAAACCAGTAAATAATGTGATGGTGACAGGACTATGTATTATGGGATCCCTGGTCGTACGGTCGGACAGCGAAGTAAAAATGCTCGGTTGTTTGCACTTAGTAGGAAGGCACCTATCGGGTCGCTGTATCGCCAGTGAATGCGGACCGCTGCTTGACTACTCTAATGCTGTTGGCCGTAGCTGGCCTTTACAGCTTCACCGGACGTTATGGGGCGAGTGCAGATGGCACTCTAAACCCGCGGAAGGACTTATGGAGCGGCTGAAGGCCAACTCCTGCCTGACGGATACGACTTTAGTCTGAGGGCACCGCTAGGGGTTCGAACCTCGGCTCAGGCCGTCGTAATTTCGATCCCCGTTTGAATTTGGCTGCGCGGCCGCGCTCTTTATATAGACGCCCGACGGGTGGCCTTCCCTTTTTTTTTTTTTTCGAGGGGAAAGGTTTCAGTACCGAAACGTCCGCCTTTATGAAGGGGAGCGGACGAATACTGTGGGACTGGACGAATCCGACCCACCAAAACCCCCCGGTGTTCCTATTTTACAACCGCGTAAAAAGCGCCGTCATGCGGGTAATATTCGTCCGCATGCCGGCCGCGGGTCTCCACTGAAGGAGCCGCTCGGATGCGGGCGCGGGGACCACTCCGCGCCCACCCTCCTCTGATCACTCTCCTCCTTGGAGCTTAGGATGCCCCTACATCCGCCGCCCCGAGTGTCTAGGTTGGGACCTTGCAAGCACCCTCCCCCCCCTCCACGCCGGGCGCAAGGCGGTGGAACAGCAACACCGCCTGCCGCCCGGTGCCCCGACACGGGTCGGGGACTCTCTCACAGACACACCAATAGCGACCAGATTCAGCCGTTGGTGGTCTGGCCACCAGGCCGCCTTAGGGAACGGCTCGTGGCTTACTCACTAGGGGTTGTTTAAACACACCCCAACAAACATACATACCCCGGGTCGCCATGCGTTCCCCGGGATCGCACCTTCTCTCACTCCGGACACAGCGGCGTCGCCACCACCGCGCCCGGGGGCTCCCCTTTTTAAGGGGGGGCAACACACACTCATCAGGCCTCAGCCCGGTGCTCATAAGGAGCCACTACACCGCTCTGCCGATCATCCTTGCGGACGCCAGGCAAGAGCGGAGCACAGGGAGCTCCAGTTGTGCGACGACTAGACAGCCCCTTCGCTGGCAGGCGGACACGTAGTGCCCTTCTCTGCGAGCGTCACATTGTTCCGCACAGTAGCGCGGTCTCTCTTGGCGCGACACTTCGCGTCCCACACGATGTGGTTCGTATGGTTGTAGCCATACTCCACACAATGGAGGCAGCGCGCCGCCGCAACACAGGAAGAGGCTTTATGCCTTCTCCGGCCGCAGCGGAAGCACCGGCCACCATAGTCCACCTTCATCGTGCACACCCGCGCCACGTGGCCAGGCCGCAGGCAGCGGTAGCACTTAACAACACTGTCCCAAATGGGCGGCTTACCTCCATAAATTAAAAAATCCCGGTAACAGCACTATCCCGTATAACGGTAGGCGTTCCTTCACATGGGCCCGGGCGTCGAGCGCGACGCCGGGTCACTACCGTCCATTCACTCTCAGCGGGCACCCGAGCACCCGAGTCCTTCGAGGCCGCCGCGGCCGCCGAGGCGGGGGGGGACTCGTCGCCCCGGCCGACGAGTCCCCCCCAGCGGGCACGCCGCCTAGAAGTCTGCCTCTTCTTACGCGGCGCCCGCGGGGCGGGCTCCGATGCCGTCGCCCCGGCCGCTGCGTTGACCTTGCCCGGTGCCTGGCACGGAGCCTGGCACGGCGCCGTCGCGGCGGGCCCGAGGCCCGCCGAGCAGGCTTTCCTCTCTGAAGCGAGTCGCTCGAGCACCGCGAGGCGGGCATCAAGAGCGACCTCGATTCTTCTCGATAACACATCGTCCTCATAGTACGGGGGGTCGGGCGATAAGCAGGCCGCAACCCGGTGCGTGACGTCATCCGACGCTCGCTCCGGGGCCGCCATGCTACCACGCGACTCCACCTCACATAAACGCACTTTTATAGCGCGTTTCTTCCTCGCTATTTTCATCCCTATCGAGACTTTCTTTACGCTCGCAAAGAGATCTAAAATCCCTGTCATCAGTTCAGCCATACTTTCCGAAACATGAGTAACGGTTTCTGGCGCCGATGCATTCCTCTCGATGGTACTGGTTTCAGAGTCCATCCTACGCCAGACACTCATCACTTTGTCCTCACACAACTTCACCTCACTTATTACATGGTCTAGTAACGACTTATATGTCCCACTAACCTGTGTTTCCGTCCCTGCAGCTTGAAGCCGCTGCTCAACACTAGACAGGAGTCGCAGTTTGTCTAGGAGCTTACCTTCTTCCGATGCATCCATCTTAGTGGTTTTCACCAACACTCACTGTACACACAATCGACGGGTGGCCTTCCCTACTGTAACTGTACGTTGCGTGTGATTTATTTACACATAATTATTATTAACAAAAATGATCTTATCTATACTTATATACAAATTCTACTTATGCTAATTACTTATATTTAGAGCAATAAAAAACACTATGTTATATATTTTATTGAGGATGACTTATTATACTAATTACAGCTAAAACTTATTTTCTAATCGATTCCGTCGTGTACATAATGGATGGGTTTTCTTGCCGAGACTTTGTAATTTTTGTGATTATGCAGAAGAAAGATTATTACGTAACTAAACCTATTATGCTCCGACATGATAGTAACTGAACGAAACCACCGAATGTATGCTGTACGAACGCGTCAAGCAGCTGTCGTGATGATTAGCCCTGTGATTTATATACACTGTGTTATTTTATTTGACATCTGCCGTTTATAATTTTAAGGTAGGTATAATTAGTTTTTAGAGTTTATTGCTATATCTGATTCCAAGGTACTCTCATTAAACTTACAAGTGAATATATTCTCGCACCGGTCCGTTCCCGCCTAAAATAGTATTGCATCATACGTCTCATCTAGTACTTAACTTAGTTCATGTACAGGAAATATACGTTCGCTGCGTTCAAGCGATTTCAGTAAAGCATAAAAAAAATGTTTATTTACTAAGGGCTTCGCTTGCTTAGTGCAAATACTAATCATGATATCATCATTTTATATCGATATGGTAGTACTTAGTTGAACTACCGTATTTGTATTTGTTTTGTGTTATAAATAGAGCTGTACAAATGGAATACCTACCTATACGTGTTATTACGTGCTTATTTAATTAAGAGGGATAGCCATTGCGACGGTCGAAAAATTTAAAGATTTTGAAAAAATAATTGACGGAGTTCGAAAAGGAATTTATGGATCGGGTTTTTTTTATTTTATTAAGTACATATCTAATAATATTTCCGCAAATTGTTATTAAAAAATATTAAATAGTTTTAACAATATAGTAATTAAGATATACAGAGGTAATCGTAATAAAACTCAAGATATTATTAAAAATGGATAAAAGCAAAAACCAGAGATACGTCGTACGTTTACCATGAAACTTCGAGACTATCTGAATATCTGCCTAAGAACAAAAGAGCCCAATACATTACATAATGTTAAATACATTAGAGCAAGGGACTAAAAGGCGTAATATTGTGATCGGGAAGGTCAAGCGAAACAGTCGACCTACCTGCTCTCACTACAATCATTGTAACTTAGTCAATTTTTGAAATTTTGACTTGCAATTTTGTACACATATTTTTGAATATATAAACTTAGATTTAAAAAAAAAAATATCCATCACAGTGGCTATCCCCATTAATTGGTAATCGTTACTGTACATTACTTTTGATATAATTTATAACGCACCACTTTTGTGTTCTCTTTTTTAAATCCCACTCATTATATGTTTTTAATTCTTAGGGCCAATATTATATATTTTTTGGCCAAAACCTACTTTTTCAACAAAAAAACTAGGTAAATACAGTATTTACCTAGTTTTTTGTTGAAAAAGTAGTTATCAGCTAACTCTAGTAACTAGGTGATTACTGTAACGGCAGTAAATAAGAGTAACTATGAAACTACTGTACCTGAGTAACTATAGTTCCTAGATAACTATAGTTATTAAGTTAATATCAGAATTCCAAAGTACCGACTAGATACTCTGGTACAGGTACTGTTTACTGTGTTCTCTGTACATTTTATGGATCCATTTTCTTTTGGATTATAATGGAGTAGTGCAGGCTCCTCCATTAAAGGGCTAATATTTACGCTGGCGGGAGACCAGTGGAGGATAATATGATATGATGATGAAGTCAGGCATCCCGTCATGGCGACTTTGATAGGGTATACTGTCTTTATTAAAATATTAGGGTAAAATATCTTTATTAATGTAGGGCTATGACAGCCTCTTATCTCTAATTTACCGTCATTGGTATCAATGCGGTCCCTACTCATTGCTAATAATCCCCTAACCCCGATATGTATCATTTGCAATAGTAGATCTGTCATAAATATTTATTGTATTATTTTACACTATGAAACTGAGTTTGTTTATTGGGTATTACCACCATAGGCCAAACTGAGATTAGTGAGAGATTAGTGGGCTGTGAAACCACCTTAAAGCATTTTCTATCAGTCCACTGAGAGAAAATACTTCAAGGTGTAAAGTTCGCCATATGCTGTTTATTATTGTATCTGTGCATTAAAGCTTTAATAAACAAATAAATATCTCTTTGTGTTAATTATGACTATAATCTATATTTATTTCTGTAAATTAATAGGCGGGTACTACTAGTGAATTTATGAATACTAAAGTTAACAGGCGTGATATACAACTGTTAGTTACTAATGTGTCATTATTTAACCAATAAATTGTTAATTTTCCTGTAACGAGTGTACCTATAATCAATTGTTTGTTGCGCAGTTTTATTTGTATTTTTTTTTATGAAACCAATACTAACCTACTCTCTGTTATAAGTATAGAGCAAAGTGTACAAATGTAGAATCCATGTATATAGGTATAGTGTAAAGGCGTAATATCTTGTAATTTAATCAGAATTTTGTTACTGAGGCTAAAAAATAAAGTTTTAGTATTATTTTTCGTTTGAATCTAATCTCAGAAACTGCTTTTTCGACCGTAAAGCGTGCATGTGTATGCATTATGTTAAGTTGCCCGTAACATTGTGCTTGTTTCATTCCAATCAGTTCAAATGGGAATTAACTCTATTGAAGTAAAAACTACAGTTACACTTTTAAGAAGACCCCCAATGCCAGCAATGAATCATCTCAGGTTGACCTCCACGCGGTTCCTCCTGGAAGCCATCTTGATGAATAATGTGTAATATTTTCTAATATTTATTTGTATTATTATTCTGTCTATTGTTACATTTATATATATATTGTTCCATGCTATTCATGTGTCACCACTTTCGTTGTTTTGTCTCTCTGGAACAGATTATTTCTTGCGATAAGACCGCCTTTTGTATATTCATATCTCTTTTCTGTTTAATCTTTATGTAAAATAATTGGTGAAACAAAGAGTTTATAAAATGAAATAAATAAATTCTTGGTGAACTTGTCACGACGTCACGTTGTGACAAGTTCACCAAGACTTCATGTTCATCTTATCTCGCTCCACTGGTGCCCCGCTAGCCTAAACCGCTTACGCTGGCAGATAAACCATTCTATTATATCGTCTATTAAACAAAATATAAATGTTTAAACAAAGTTTAAACATTTATTTTCATGCGTATAATTGTGTCGATCTGGATTTTTCTGTAAATACATACATAACATACATAGAGTATGTTATGTATGTATTTACAGAAAAATATATTTAAGTATTTATATCCGTTATCTTATATCTAGTACCGCTAGTACCCATATAACAAGCTTTGCTTTAGTTGGGACTAAATGCACACAGCACGTGTTAAGTGGTCAGAAAAATAAATATAAAAAACTATTGAGAAAATTAATTTTAATTTTCCTTTCTTCATTCAAAAAGTTGTTGATTTTCAATATCACTGACTTTCGATATCATATTATACTGCAGTGGGTAAACACAACGTTGAAATAAAACATAAAATTGTATTTGTACATCTGGATACATCTTTATTAAATTAAATAAGTATCGTATACCATGAAATGAAAAGCCAAGTCGTTTGTTTGAGTATAAAAACGTATATTTACATAATTAAAACCGTTTATTTCTGTTATTGTGGCACTACAAGGCAATATAAATCGTATAATATCATTATAATATTTAATAGCAAATTTAACATTACCTTGTACATCTATGTGACTATATAATACGATATTGATAAGGAATACGTCTAAATTCTGTAAGCGACGATCTTCGTTTGATATTATATTTTGGTTATTATATAAATAAACATAAGTATATATTATATAGTATATAGCTAGTGATTTGTTCAATTTATCTACACTTGCACATTGGCGGCAGCGCTGGCTAGTGCTTCGCTGGCTTGAGCGGATGCTCCGGCTACGTTACCACCAGACGCGACGGCCGATAGGACCTGTGAACAAATATTAAACCAATCGTTATCGTGGTAGAGGCAGTGCCGATTTAGTCTAGTAGCAAATACTACGGCCCTTGCGCCCCGACAAATATATATTATTGTCAAAGTCTAAACGGTCAGTTATAAGAATTGAAACTAAGCTATGGGCCTCTTGAAAGAAATTTCTACAGGCCCCACGGCTTAATCTGGCACTGAGAAGAGGTAGAGAGTTGTGAGAGGCAGAGAGTGGTTGACTACCCTGATATATATATTTCAAAAGTGGTCAGTAAAAACGACCCGGGAAAAATATCTTTGATATATATTTACAACTGACTCTCCTGTTATGGAAACATCAATAACACACCAAATCAATGCGAGAGACGGCGTTGGCTAAACTGAATATCGTTCTCCAGTATAACTGAAATTTTAATGGACGAGTGAGTGATTATATACTTACGCTAGTAAGGACTGGCAGGATGCTTTGTCCTGCTTGAGTTTGGGCAGCGATGGTGGCGGCTGTGATGGCTGCTCCAACATTGTTACTGCGGCTGTTGAAGGCACTGTACAGACGTTTGGCGGCACAGTATTCTTCGTTGATTAGGCTGCAACGCATTAAATACAATATTTATTTGTAGTTAGTTCTCATTGGTCTAGCGATTTAGAACATCGCCTTATATCTGGCGGCGGGTTCTAGTCCTCGCACGATACAAAAATTTGTATTGATGTGTACGATTGTCTGTGTATAAAAGCTTTCTATGTAGATGGTATCAGTTATTTAGTACCCATAATATAAATTTTACACAGTTTGGAACTAGCCCTGCTGTGTGAATTATCCAGGATTTTTATTATTATCTTTCTCATAGTTATATGATTTAAAAAAGTCTCTTGTCTGTTCATCTCATCTCAACTGAAGTACCTGGCATACTTATGCAGCATGAATAATAATAAAAATAAGGGACTTTCAAATTAAAAATAAATTTAAAGGATAATAAATGTCTCAGTACAAAAACCTCATCATGTGCAGACTCATATACAAAACTCACAATGTTATGCCTACAAACTGGTAGGCCTAGTAAACAATACATTAATTGTTGTATATGCGTTGTTGTGAAATTAATTTCTAAGCGACATCATATTATTTAAATTAAAATTTAAAAAACCTTTATGTTAGTCACTTATGTAAGTCAAGGTATTGTATTATTGTTTTTCCTATCGTCCAGTTCAGGATATAGATTCAGTTGAGAGGAATTGACTACAAAATCAATAGTTTTTTTATTACTCACCCAACTTGGTATGGGTTGGCACTGGCAAGAACTGCATCCCAAGCTGCCTCGAATTGGTAGCTTCTACCTCCTCCTGAACAGGCACCGCTTGGCCCGGACTATTAAAATGTAAAGTTACAACAATTATTTTAAACAGCACCACGCGTGTTTTTCGCTCGTTTTTTTTGTGATATGATAGCTTTCTAAATAAGCGGTAGATTAAAACAATAGTAAGATTATACAAAAGTATTAAGTTTATTTAAATAAAGTATTTATGATTCTATTCTATTGTAAAATAAACCCATCGCGACAACATTAATTGTTGTAATCAATGAAACAATTCTTTAAAAATCTTAGAATAAAATAACTGTTCTGCAGTTGGAGTTTGTGAGTAAATCTAAAAAATATAATTGTTTTATTACATCAATTGTTTTCTTAAAAACGGTAGAGATCGTGTGGCTACACTTATTAATATTTTGTTATTATAAAAACTTTATAAATGTGTTAGGATATTTCTACTTTAACGATTATAATAATAACGAAATAAATGCTGTATACACATAAATCTTATGTTGTACAGATAAGTATTGTGTGGATATATAAGATTGTATAAGTGAAGAGATTGTATTTTATAGTTTAATGTTATAAAATATAATAACACGTTTTTAAAACTTATTTAAAAACAAGAAAGATTTGCAATTAGAACAAATCACTGTGCGCTAAAACGCAGGATAGTTTGATGTGCACGCAGGGCAGACAGAATATATATATGCTACATTTATAATAGGTATAAAAATATAAAATTGTACTGTTAGCGGGTACACTGTTCTATATTGATCCATTAAAAAGAATGCATGGTACTTTTTATCAGAAATGTAAAAATAAAATCCGCGTGATGCAGTTAAATCATTATGCCTAATTATTCATGATTACACTGTAAATCATTAATATCAATATCAGTCGAAGAACACTCACAACGATTTAAGACAATGTTTAGGGCAATTTGGCAACGTCCGATGATAAATGGCTTTGCACCGGAGTGATTTATGCGGGCAGTGCTTGGTTCAGTATTAAGAGTACCTTCGAAAAGGCTTTAGTATTAATATTTCATGAAGGGAACGCATACGCTATATATTAAATAGCTAAATATTTAGCTCTGGATATAGCAAAATGTATCTTTTATTTCCATTTGTCTATACCCAAATGAAATATAGTTTTGCTATGGAAATTTTTGGCTCTTAATATTGAATGGTTTTCTTATTATGTACAAAAATAATTATATTATTTTTTGTACAAATTAATGGAAAAAACAATGAACTTTATTACGATTTATATGTATACGTATAGGTACTATTATTATTACAAAGTAAAAATTACCTCTGGCTGACCTATTTCACCCGTCAAGTAGTTTGCTTTGTAATTGCTTTGCAATTTGTGTTCGGCATGACATCATAGTCTATAAATGTAAATGGGAACGCACAGAAGAGAATCCACAGACGACATATCATGAAGTTATTTCAAGTCAAATTAAATTTATTACATAGGAAACATTATTATTACCATGTTCCTTAGTTTCTTATTACACTTCAGCTCTACAATATTCATGGTGACGTTAAAGAGGCGAAATGTTTACTAACATGTGGACAGTTAGTTTGCCATTTGCATTAAAAATATCTTACCGAATAACGAAGAGAGTCAGGGTTGGTGGCCAACTGGGCGATAAGGCCAATGTTGGATGCCAGGCGTCTGATGTAGTTGGCGAGAGCTGGGATGATCACAGCTTTGTTTCCGGTACGGACTGAGGTGGCGTACGCGTTGATAAGCTGCACAGATATATTTGTATTGATTAATAGGTAGGTATAAACACTTAAGACACCTACAAAGGTGTCTATGTCTAACATTAAATTAAAATACCGTGCTTGAACAACTATTGCCAGGCATGTTTGTCATTTAAGCAATCGATTAGTCATTAATAGGCTCTGCTCAATGAATATCATTTAACCGGTGTTTTAAATTTATTTGAAGGCAATTCCAGTACATCCAGTGGTATCTTATAATAATAAATAGTATATGTGACAGACTTACAGCAGCGGCGTCACAGGAGTTTCCTGGGATACCGGTGGCGAGCTCACCCAGAGCTGCAACGGTTTGGGTCACAGCCAGACCCTGGCTGAGACTGTCTGGTTGGTTGGCCAAGTCATTCAAGATTTGTTGAATGGTTAGAATGTAGATGTTGGTGTCACCACCATCAACGATTTCAAAGGCACGGTCGGTTAAAGCACTATAGAAAAACAATAAAAAACATATTTTAATTTTATTTAAAAAAAATACAGGTGTAAAGCACAATATCAATACTTAAACCATGAAGATAATAAATGTATGTGATACAGTCGTGGCATAGTCATTAACACTTTGTGCACTAGTTCACATTCCAAACTCTCGGGTGATAGAAACACCGATAACAAATTAAATAACATTGGCAGTTGACAACGTTTCAGATATTCGTGAGGGCAGGTATATTATTTATCTATATATTAATACGTGAATCAAAACTTTGTACTACTTTTTATGAAAATTGCGTAAATGGAGTTGAGTATGAAATTTACGCACACTATAGAGTTTATAGAGATATTATATATAGTCTAATAGAGATGGGGTGCAGAATACTAATATTTTTAAAATTTATTAAATCAATAAAACATACATTATACATATTACCATATATCTGACATACACAGGCATATATACTCTTTTGTTTATTGTTAGTCTGTAGACAATTGGTTTGTCTTTAATATTTGTCTAAAGTATTACTGAATGTTAAATTAATTATAATGGAATTTCGACCACCGGGCGACCACTAGTATTGTATAAAAGAGTATCTGTGACAATATACATAATGCCGCCAGGTCAATTAGTTATGAACTAAATGCTGTTTTGCATAAAATAGATAAAATGGAAGATGATATTGTATCTATTAATAGTAATTAAAACTGGGTATTTACCAGGAAACCATTGTATAAATGGATAAGGATAATCTGGTTGAAGATGTAGCAATCAGTGAGAATTGTTTATTTAATTGATTTACAGGAACGGGTGTTTAATGAAGTTTGTTATTGTTATCCGATAATTGTACAGAATACATTCGGAAATATTTTTCAAAGCAAGTATTGTTCAGTAAATTTAATATATTATATTAATAGTAGTACATTTAAATTTAAAACACTTAACCATCAAAAATACCATAAAAATACAACTTTTTAATGTTTTTAGTCCACGATTTCTGTTAAATACAGTACATACAGCAAAATACTATTTCTTACAATTTTTGTCTGTCTGTCTGTCTATCTGTTTGTTCCGGCTAATCTCTGAAATGGCTGGACCGATTTTGAGGGGACTTTTTTTAGTAGGTAGCTGATGTAATAAGGGGCAACTTAGGCTACTTTTATTTTAGAAAAATAAAGTTATATACCATGCGAACGAAGTCACGGGAACAGCTAGTATATACATATAGGCGATGACTACTGCTTATCAACAGGTGGGTCGTCAGCTTTTTACACTTCAAATACATAAAAAATGTAATAAATTATATTGTGTAAATTTATACATACCTAGAGATAGGGCGTCCATTGCCGACAGCTGGAGGGATGTTGTTAATGTTGTCTTGGCTAATAACAACTGAGGGGGCGGCTAACGCGCTCTGTAAATGAAACGAATATATTAACTATTTTCATTAGGATAAGGATTGAAATAGGCACAATAATACTAGACCAGAGTTTACCAATGCCAATTTGATTGTCAAGGAGGTCAATTTGAAAATCGAGTCTTTATTAAAATTATATGGAATGTTAATTTCAGTACATTACATACTTAGAATTTACTTACTGGTTAATTATTTTTCCACATTCCTAGTAATTTCTTCCTATATCTATCAGTTAAGTTTCTTAAGTAAATCATTCAATTTTTTAATGGCAATTTGTATGTTTGGTATATGGAGGAGGGGGTGGGGGTTCATAAGAAGTTTCAACAGACTAAGTTGGGGCATGACACTAAAAAGGTTGGGAAAGTTATTCAAATTCTATTGTACATTTATACGCAAATAAAAAAATATAACATATGTAATGGTAATGCAGATTTTTTTGTAAACGACCATAAAAACGGACATATTTTATTACAACAAATATATTAGGCTATATTAGATATTATAGTTTTTCACATTGATGTTTATCACTTTTACATATGAAAGGCTTTAATTTTACTATAGCAGGGCCCAAATAATACCTAATAATGATGTAGAAAATGTTGGTTATAAAGCAGATATACGAAAAAAATCAATTTAAATAGCATGCATTTTATTGAGAATGTACGTCGAAAGACATATTCATAACCTGATCCTGATACTTATAAATTACGAGAGTCATACAAACCAGAGTGATATCAGAAATGTTGTTATTTGTTATTTAATGATTTTAAACTGTACTTTCATCCAGAGGTGATAATTTTATCTTACTCATCGCAAGTAACGGATTATTGAACTTATTACAGAAGACAAACTTGACTATTTGGATTCGGAAACCCGACATGGCAAAGCTGAACAATAAAATTGGTAATGTCTCTGTTTGAGAACAGGGAATGACAGGTATTCAATAATTGCACACGGCCGGGATACACCGTGGGTTTACTCTATGTCAACTGGGGAACTATTTTCATTACTCAAAATGGGGGATTTGTCATGCTTCCGTTAGTTGGGAATTTGTGATGTTCGACGTTTGTGATCTTAAGTCTGGTCCGTTGTTATTTGCATTATGTATGGTATCTGTCATAGCAAATCCTATTTGAATTCCCCGGTTATTACGTTATTTATTAGATTGTTGATTGAGACTGTCTATGGTAGCTACTATTCGAAAGAGTTTTTTAACGTTATTTCGAATGGTCGACATATAAAGTCAAGCAGGCCGTTAACATGTCTGCCATTCCAATTAAACAAAATAATTTTAAACAACTTAAACAAAACTACTTTACTAGAATTAATATTTTTTTTGTATAAATTGTGTATGCCATGTAATATTCACCAAAAATTTTTTAACTTCATTTTGTTTAATTTTTATTGTTTAATGTTGATTATATTTTCCTTATACCTTATAATTTTCAAAATAGTTCTTAATTTTATTCAATTTTTACGAATTTAGAAATAGTAGTACCTACTTATTCAATCTAAAATAGATCATAGTTCTTGATTACCCGAGTGAAACCGAGGTCGGCCGCTAGTTATTCCATAAATGTGTGAGAATAAACCTCTACTCTGAGTTCCGATCTGTATTCGGATATTCAAATATCTCGTTTGATTGCTTTAGTGCTGTCATGTACAGAATACCATTCCGATATTCCGGGCTCAATCCCCGAGCTTCTCCACCTACCTCGCCTCATTAAATTTAGCTTCGAATGGAGATGACATTCTCAGCATACAATTTACCAGGAGAAGTATCGAACAGGTACAGGTGTAGGGTCTGGTATTATCGTATAAATTGAAATGTTTAGTGTACGATGAATTTAGATATACAACCTTGTTTGATTAGAGACATAAGAATATTACAAGCGACTTGAGATAAGAAGGAACTCGTAATTCGACTTTCTTTTATTTGTTACAAGACGTCTGCGCCGAATGTAAATTGTAATTTTTTTTAACTTGCTAAAATTAGATAATATTAATTAGAGGATTTATATTATTTTGTTTAAATAAATAATATAAAATCGCTAAATAATGAAAAGGACTTCTGAAAAATGACACTTAATTCGATGAAATATATAATTAGATTTTTTTTTAAATAACGCCGAATATGCGATAAAATATACAATATGGAATATTTTTTTAATTAAGACTTCTAATTTTGTATGATTTTAACCAAACCCGTATTTAAATAACACCAAATGTTACACATTAGGTGCATTTTTTTTGTACTGTTTTAAAAGTGAGTTTTAACAATTAACTGTTTTACTGACAAATTTGATAGAGTTGGTCCTATATTAATTTTGTAATTATTGGTAGTTAATTTTTGTTTAGAACAAAAATTAACAGTTTTTATTCTATTGTAAGGTATCAGAATGTATTGTATAATAGGGTTAATATAGAATGATTGTCAGTTAATTTACAATAGTCTATTTATTCTAGGCTTAGTTAGCAGACTTACTATTAACTGTAAGTCTGCTAACTAAGCCTACAATAAATAGAATTGTAATCGGATTGAAATTCCAATTAACAAATTGACGGCTTCGGTAGTCTACCAGTTCAGCACACCGCTTTACTTTCTATGGTCGTGGGTTCGATTCCTCGCACTGTGCAAACATTTATATTCATGAGAATGATTGTTTGTGCCGGTCTGGATGTTTCCTATGTATATTATATATCTATAATATGAATTTACAAAAAAATTAAGTCTTTATATAAGTCGAGCAGTACCCATAACACAAGCTCTGCTTACCGTGAATAGAATAGAATAGAATAGAAAATCATTTATTCAAATAAACTTAATTTAAGCACTTTTGAATAGTCATAACAATTTGTTTTTTATCTACCACTCGTTCGGAAAGCTGTCTCATCACAAGAAGAACGAGCAAGAAACTTGTGTGTTGCTGTTTTAAATAATCCTTGTAAGTTTACATTTACAAGTCGAAACGTGTGAATACAAACTACCAACAAGCACTAATTTTTTGGGTCAAATATAATCATGCAATAAGATTAAATCAGTCGTAGTGATAAGACGTGGGACTAGATGTCGCTGTGTTAAATGTCCAGAGTGATTTATTATTATTTAACATTAATTGATATGAACAGCATTATATCTTTGACAAGACGGCAATATTGTAAACTGGTTTACGACACAATATAATTTTTAAAGTTAGACGCCATTCATAGTAAAATTTTAAACGTTTGCTAAATCTGAGTGCACATCAGACGTACACGAACGTAGCAATTTATTGCAAAATGTAACTACGAACAATAAAATATTATCAAAAGCCATTTAGTCTTGTCTATATTTTAATGCACGGTAATATTTTTGACGATAAACTACCGTAATAAAATTATTTTATGGTAGATTATTTTAAATTGTATTTGTATCATTTTTGAGCGGTCGAAATATTTTACTAAAGGATATTATGAACTATATGCTCTGGTATAATTTTTTAATTTAGTAATATTAATCATATAGTAGCTATGAACATGATAGATTGCGAGTCTCTAGGGACGATGTCCGGGACAGGATAAAGTGGCGGAGAAAAACAAGGAAAGCACCACCAAATGGGGAAGAGTAATATTAATCATCATAAAAACAAATCTTAAATAAATATTGAAATACCGAAAGTATCGTCAAATTAATAAAAAACAATTTTAAATGCACATATTACTTACCAAAAGTAAAGGACGACATTTAAAAATAATTTTTTAATAAGACGAATAAACTAATTAATAAAAGTAATCAATACAAAATAATAAATAATATATTTTATATTATTACATAATATATATGAAAAGTTAACTTACCGTTGCGAAGAGCAATACCAAAACGAAGGGCAACATTTTGTTGGTCTTTTTCGACCAATACGGTATATACTATACACGAAGCCGTCTGCTTTTATCTACTATATATACACACATAACAATAAACGTAAATATAGTCCATTTGTTCAAACAATATTTTGTAAACAGTATTAATTATTGACAAAAAAATAATAGAACGAGTTACATCAACGTTATGTCGTAAGTTTTAAAGCACATTATTGAATGAAAAATATCTTTATAAAAGTAAAATGTTTTTGTAATTTTTGCAATTCCGAACAAAGCGATTGATTAAATCTCTTGTTTGAATGTTTGTTGTGTTGTGAATATTAACGCGAATTGTCTTTTCGTCGTACAATATGAAATTTAGTTGTATTCCATTTTCTGTTTGCGCGTCATTTACTATGTAAATCACATTTTGAAGGTGAAAGTAGGGATTCGTGTACCAAGAGATGTTGCTGTTCTGTAAATTAATATTTATTTGTATTGCAATTATTCAAATTATTCTTTTTAAATCGGATTTTTTGTTCAGTTACTTTTTGAGACCATAAATAGTAGAAATTTTCCTTTTTTTTTAAGTTATGAATTAAGAAATTTTTCTAGTAGATTCATAAATTAATTCATAAGTATGTAAGAAACGAATATATCTACGCATGTGGCTATTATTTAATTTAATTCTGATAATTACTAAAAAGTGATAGCCACTCATTAGAATTATATACCTAACATTTTCTATCATTGACAAACAATGTTTTATAAAATTTTATTTATTTTATTTTATTCATATGATACAAAAGGTGGATATAACGCTGTTATATTTTCTAACTTCTATTTTGTCTTTTTACTTTGTAATTGACTACGTAGTTTATGACACCGTAGTCATATGACTTTTAAAGATTTCAGTTCACATAGAATACTGCCTGTTAAAATTCGGGGTGTATTTGTTAAATTGCAGAATACCGTATACCCTTGGAGAATAAACCGTACTTAGTTGTCAATTGTGTGAGTAGCCTATTTTTGCAGAGTGCAAGCGATTACAAACTCGCACAAATCGGTTGTTTCATAACCATCAAGTATAGCCAATTAATTAGAAAGCTTAGACAACCATTTTAAATGGAATTAATTTAGACAAAATTTCTACGTCTCTTATAGAATAAAAATTCTATACAAATTTCGTTGTACGTTCCATTTTATATGCAAATAATTTTAATTAATTTGTATTTATTATCTAGGTAGATTTCTACAAAGTCGTCGGCGTGAGTATCTTTGATATACCTATTTCTGCTGTCAAGCACCTTGCTTTCTAACCTGTGTTTCGGTTTAAATGGTGAGATAAGGCAGTGAAATTGCAGCATATGGCGGTTTAAAAACTTTAGACATAAGAATACCTGACAGGTAGCAAAGGCGTAACATGTTAAAATAATATCTTTTAACTCGGATTGAATAATAAGGCGAATATTGAATTAAAATGCAAGTAATTCGAAAACATAACTCACTGTTCGAACCTTTCCTCTGTTTAGTTACCAAAACTTAGAATGGTAGACAAATATCTTTTTTCTTAATTGCCCACGAAGATTGTTCAGGCTTTGGCATCTGAGGTTTCGTTTCAGGTTACTCTGAATGCCATAGATAAAGGAAACATTAATCAAATGTGTGCTTCGATATTAGTATTTTTAATTGATGGTGCCACACACATCAGTTAACATAGCACTAGTATTGTTAATATATACATGTTTTTAATTTCTGATATTGATCGACTCCTAAAAATTGGAATTTAGAGAGAACCTATTTTGGTTTCAATTCCATTTATTTGTTCCCTTTTGTACTAAAATAACAAATGTCGAAGTAGCGAATTAGATATTTGATATCTATGCACAGGAATGTATAGATTAACTGAACTGATAAATTGTATTTGACCCAACCGAGTTTAGTACCACTGAAATCGATATTCTGGTATGCCTCTTATGGAAATGATTGCACTGGATTCAACTTCAAAGTGAATACAACACACGTATAGGTATGTTCGAAATTGATAGGACGCATTGATTGATTTTGCGATACTCGACTGTTCAACTCGGATTGGTATCCATCCAATTCATATAATGTCAATCAATCTGAGATTGACACAAAACTACTCTCTAAGCTGTTTGTCTATCGTCCGCAACTGAATAGGTCTCTCCAACATCATGTAACAAAGTTACACGCTCTGTCTATTGACATATTCATCTGGAATTGACTATGATTTCTATTTGAATTGGGCGGAGGTATTAAATTAGCCTCATTGCCAACTGAATCCCAAATATTAGTATTTGGGGTTCAGTTAATCTCCTCCCTCCATTACATAGTACTCCTGCCTTTTTTTCTATCTTGTGCTTCCATTATCAATTGATAATTGCAAAGCAAGGCATTTCAGGAGGTTCTTCTTTTTCGATTCTTCTCCCGCTGTTTATCAGTCGCAATTTTGAGAACTTTTTCCCCGTTGGTATCAGTTATCCGAGTTTAATAGCCAGTATGTTTTAAGTAGCACATCCTTATAACTATATTTGTATATTATATACATTTAATTTTCCGTTATTCTGTGGGCAGCCTTATTACGAATTTTGCCATGCAGTGAATTCAAGCTGTAGTTGGTGCTTTGTCTTTGTCATCTCTAGTTATCTATATAGATAAAGATAGTATAAAGCAATGTTGAAGTTTTCGTTTGTTTGCTTATATTTTCCAAACCACCCAACAAAACAGATTTAGTTACAGCTTTCACTGAGAATTTATTCTGAAAGTTATATATGTAGTTATAATCATTATATTAATACTTCTTAGGAAAATTGCGCGGACGGATGAGTATGAAATTTCGCAAACGTATAGTTTATAGGAGTAGGAGAGCATTTTGATTTTTTTTTAATTATTCATAAAAATATATTGCACACTACAATGTGTTTGACCCATACACGCATAAAAGTATATAGTCTTTGAAAGAATCTTAATAATATTGAAACTTAAATTAATTATGGTCGAATTTCGGTAATTGGGTGACAAAGAAACTAAAGTAAATGTGAAAATATTAATTAATAATAATAATCTCAGGACAATTCACACAGCGCCATCTAGACCCAAGTTATGCTAGCTAAAGCTTGTGTTATGGGCACTAGATAACTGATACATATACATAGATTTTTTTTGTAAATACATACATATTAAACATAGATAGATTATTATAATACAACATCCGTTATTATTAAACTTTATCTGAAATTATATGTTATATATACTTATTCTTGTTTTACATTGTTTTCAAACAAATAATAATTATTCGATGTTGTTTTAAAAATTCAATTTTGTAGTTCTATTTCTGAAGTTTTATTATACGAGTGCAACAAAGAAAGTTTTGTATTATTTCTATCGGAAAATGCTTTCTGTTTTATGTTTGAATTTGAAGTGGATTCGCTATTTAGTTCGAAGATGTCTTGGAATAGGGTTGTAATTGAATAATATTTTTGGTTTTCCAATTAATGTAAAGTTAATGGCTCTTGAAAGTTAATGTGTTCTAAAAGTAAAGAACGTCATTATTAAATATATATAGAAATTAAAAATTTTATATTTAAATTCTAATGGCCTCTAATAGTTATTTTAGCAAGTAGTTCAATCAAGTTTTCATTGTTTACACACAGCTTTATTTTTTTATGTCTTCTCTCTTTGTTGATTACTAATAATACGGAAAGAAGAAATTTCTTCTTAGTGTGTAAATGATAATTAAAAAAGAATTGTTTAAACTGTGTATTAACTAGGTTAAAGTACATACATACAAAACTAAACTAACTATTGCAGTGACAGCCCTAACTATAAAAGGGTGATACAATTCTTGTTTTCAACGAAAAAACATCTCAGGGAAAACAAACCTCTTAAATCTCGGTGCATTTTCATTATTTGCTTTAAAATGTTTATTTCTGAAGTAAACTAGTATCCCTACAATAAAGTACGTAACAATATGGAGACAATTCTGACTTTGTTTCACACTAGCCTATATTTTTGGAATATATGTCAGATATATGTTTATAGCGAATTGAATGGGAAAGTTGTCGAGAGCATCGTTGTAAATGTAATTGCTTTGTTTGTTTGTCTCATCGAGGCGTTACTAAATCTTTGTCACCTATTTCAGTATACAAGTCCATTACAATATTTCTGTCCTTTAGAAAATATTCAGCTATATTAAAACTTATAATACATTTCTAGAATTCATTGACTATTGTCTAACAATTTCGGCTCTAATTTAATTACATTCAAATATATATTCGCAATTAATTTGAACATATAAGTAATTACAAAGTTTAAATTGATTGAATGTATAATTCATAATAACGTTTTCCTTAATAACACATATTTTGTTTATAAATAATGTTTGTATTCATTAAAATGAGTAAGCTGGTATATAATAATCCTCCTGATAAGACGTCTGTATAACTAAAACATGTTGTTTAATCCTCAAATAATAGGTAACCTACCATTTATTATTGAAGATCAAACAATAGTGATACAGTACTTTTTTGTTTCATTTATTATAACAATGTTGTAGATTATATGTAATCGATATATTTAACATATCTTCTAGCTTTAGCACATATAAAAAATATTCCATTTTGTAAAATAATATTTGCATTATTATTATTCACATATTTCCCTAACTATAATTTCCGATAAAATTACTCTTATCAGGTAATTTCATCGGGAATTATAGTTAGCATGACCTCTTTGTAGAAGATTTAGATATCACTGGTTGAGTGTTGTCACGGATGTCGCATAACAGGCATGGGTTACCATTTAGCCTCAGGTGGGCAAACAGCTTAGTCGCCATACCAATTACATAAAAAATAATATAAAATGGAGCACTTATATATACTATGTATTTTTAACTCGACGTAGACGGTTAACGAGTGTTACGTTCAACACAAACGTAATTTTTGATAAACGTTACGTTTAGTGAATATATTATTTAAATCTTTGAGTTTCTTTTATCTATCTAGAATTGTAAACATCTTACAAAGCAATATGCAGGCGACTTTGTACTAACTGTACTGCG